ATAATCTTCTCTTCTGTATTTCAGCACGCTAACGTATTGATGTCTATCATGCTCACCACGGTTTAGCATGTAAGCTGGTATCCCGCCTCAGATAACAGGTACAGAATGATGCACTGCAGAGAGCCCTGGGCAAAGAATGCGGTAAATAGCTGTACGCCTCGGGGCACCGCCCTGTTTAGCGGTGATAAGGCGGTACGGGGCTGTATTACTGGGAATAAAGCCAAGCTCTCACAATAACTGTTATCATCTTGCATCTTGGTCAAACGTCTGAGAAATGTTAATATAATTTACGAGCGCAAGCGAGAGAGAGACTGATTAAAAAAGGTCTAAACCCCAAGATTAGCGGATCATTTAGCCTTTGGTCTCATTTAAGATGGATCAGCTATTCAGCAACGTAGTTTGACTCCTAATCAGCGGCTCTCTGTGTACGAGTTGCTGGGCGCAATTACTTGAATGCAACGCTGATAAATGGCATTCTGGTTGGATTGAAGTTTCTGACTGTATTAATGTCAACGCGTCTTCAGCCGCGGCCCTTAATTTGACACAATGAAGACTGAGATGAATTCAGGAAGAGCCGAGTTAAACTGTCATCGAGGGAAACAGAGTGCGGGTGGAAATGAAGACACGGATGGACAGTCCAATTGGGAGGAAAAAGAAAATTGACACTGGCTTTGGATGGTTGTGATGGTGGTGGGCAGAAAACGGGAAGTCAGTGAACTGGAAAAGATAGAGTTTCAGACAGGCAGAACCATCTTGTTAGAGATGCTGTTTCATCCACACTGACAGAAACTGTGAATAAAGAAACAGCATTCTCAACCCGCACGAATGTGTGAAGAAATACGTTTCTATGCAGCACGAAGGCCCACTGAAGATTCCAATGTGCTTAATGCTTGTGGCACAGACTTTAGCTTTCAGCCACCCTCTAACTTGCAACGTAGATATTCGGCTCGGACTATAATTTATTCAGTGTCGGCCTTACTAGAGAATGGGAACCCCCCCCCCCCCCCCTCCCCGGAATAGACTGAATCTCATCAACCGCTGGTGTTGGTAGAATGAAACACTGGAGAATGAGACGAAAAAAAATAAAAATAAGAAATGCTCACAATGAGATGCCTTTTAATGTGGTAACATCGTCAAAGTCATGCTGATTGGAAATGCGTCCGGTACAGTCCGTGATGCATAAGTGTTCATTTTAATTTTATTTAACTTCTTTTACGTTTTTAACGTCCCATTGCAATGACTTGTGGGTAATTCCCTTGGTCAATGTAGACTTACGGAAAGGGCTCAACACGTCCCCATTTTCTACTATTTGATAATTCTGCTACTGCCTGAGTGCGACAGAGACTTCAGCCACTGGCAGATTTACAAGCGCGATAACAGACGACAACAAGCCCGAGCGGAGATGAGCGAGAGACAAGCGTTGGCCGGTCATCTTTAGTAGATTTAAAGTGGAGAGAGAGCGAGAGAGAGAGAGAGAGAGAGAGAGAGAGAGACCCTTGTCTTGTCCGTCTGTTTGAGTTCAGTGGAAGATTTTAGTGCTTAAGCACTGACTTTTATTGTCAAAGACCTTTTGTGTGCCTCGTCATCATTTCTGTACCGGACTAAAACCAAACCAACATAAACATTTTTTTAAAAGCAGGATAAAGAAAGGTTACTGAAGGCGAGTGAAGCTGCAACATTGAATAATTTACTGTTGCAGGGATGGACTCTCTATTTTATCTTCTCGTTCAGCAAATTCAGAGAAAACCCTTTGCTAACCTTCCTAAATATTGCATAGCATTTTTGCGTATGCTGCTAAAGGCAGATGTAATTATATCGGGAGCTTATATGGCCTCTTCCTTTGGTCCATACCTCTTCTATCGCTTTCAACCTTTAAATATACATGTAAGCCTGCACGGAACTGCATCCCCACGTAAGACCACGAGGAGCCTTCAAGCTCAACACAATAACTACGCACTGCATAACGAATGCTGCTGTTAATGGAACACGTTGTCCCCGGCCGCCAGTGAACATGACAAATAGAACATATCGTTTTATAATTGAGCGTGGAGGTATTTTAATCCTCTGTGTCCATGGCAACACGTGACGAGATATGACGAGAGGGGTTGAGCTGAGGACAGCGTGGCCAGCGCTCCGGCGTGGGATCCCAGCAGAGGAAGCCGATCTCCACTTGAGCGCTTTTGGCCCCACTTATCGGCCACTGTGGGCTCGAGGGTTTCTGGTTTGTGAGATCATACTTTTAATGTCCGGCCTCACAATGCCAATTAGGCTTTCAAGCATACAGTACCGCGGAGTGGAAGGAGAGCTTGGAGTAGTAATATGTGTTCTTCCGACAGGCTCTAGGACTAAAGAGGAGAGTCTAATCTAGAGACCAGTGTTGTGTTTTTTATCAATGATTTTTATTCAGATTGTTATCCATATATATACTCTATATCCACATCTGTCTTTTGATACATTTTCATAAAGTCTGACAGAAAAAGACAGTTAGGCGCATTGCAGCTGTTTACATCAGCCAGTGTTTGAGGCACACGCACCACTTGAAAGCTTCAAGTCTGATCTCTTACACACGGTGCAAAACAGAACAAGAACACAGAGAAACCGCCCTGAACACACTCTGCTGTTTTCACTTTTTGCAGTTTCTTTATCTGAAAAGCAGAGGGGGACAGTGAAGCGGCTGTGACTCAGAAGGAAGAGCGATCGAATGCCAAACAGGCCGCTGGTGGTTGAATCCCTGCTTAACATATCAAAGGGGACTTGAGCGGGATACCTGTAGAGTAACTGCGCTGTGTATTGATAAATCCATGCCGTTGTACGAGGTGCTGAAGGTGCAGAGGTAAAGGTAATTGTGATGTAATCCCTCCGTCTTGTATTTATAATATTGATCAAACATGAACATTTACACGAGACAATGAATGGAATAGTCTCTAAATAGTTTTTGCTTTATTGCTCGACTGCAGTAACGAATTGTACCATTCTGATGTAAGATGCTTCGCCAGCTTCACGCTGCATCTGTAGCTGCATTCACATGGAACCAGGCAGGAGAGAGTGAAAGACAGATATCATTTTAAGGAAGGTAGAATTAGGGGAGGCCGACAGGGAACGCAAACAATGGCAACAGTAAACAACATTGACCTAAAACATTTTTTATATCTTAAAAAGAATTTGCTATTCCACAAATTAACACCCGGAAGTTATGTAACTCCCTCACAGAAAGTGTGCCTGCGTCTATTTAGCAGACTGAAATTAGACGTTTGGCTAAACCACTGCCATCACATAATCATGCCTATTGTTCCTGTTAAATAAATAAACAGAGCTGAGTGAATAAAATGTTTTTCTCTACCTGGAGAGTTTAGCTGTATAATGTGTATATTTTGGATCTGTCTGCACTGTGAACGTATTCAAAGCAGTTTAAGCCCTTCTGCCCGTCGTGTCGCTTACTTCTTCATGCTGTGGATTTCTGCATGTGTGTTTTTCAGGTGATAAGTTGTCTTGAACAGCAGAGAATGACAACGAGAAAAGCTTAATGTTTGTACGACCGCGTTTGTGCATAAATGTACCATGAAGAGGATTAAAATGAGTGTTGTTTTTTTTACTCCGTGGAATTTATGGTTGTCCCTTGTGATGTATTGAGAACAGATAGCAATGTTTGCTGTGGTATCTGAGTTTTAGCCACACTGTGTGTGTGTGTTATGCTCTGGGATGTGCGCATTCGGCATTGTTTGCTCCATTAGCGGCGTTTCCTGTCATTAGTGCATCGAAACCACGCTGGGGCGCCTCTCTCTCCTCCGTCGTCTATTCAAACACATTGGAGCAGATTCAGCTGTGATTGAGATGTTAGCTATAATCGCAGTATATAGTATAGTAAAATGCAACTGATCCATGGGCAGCGGTGCCACTCATGTGATGGAGAAGGAGAGACCAGAGTCTGCAGAGCCTCCGGGTGCAGAGAGCTCAGGGCTGCGGTTCAGTGCGGTGCACTCATGCAAACACACGGTTCCACAGATTGATCCCTTGAAGGCAGTTGTACCGGTAGCAGGTGGGAACCACAGGATTCGGTAATGGGACAATCCTGCAGGATTGTGTGCCTGATGGCGTGCAGTGTTTTCCTCAATCCCAGGACAAAACCAGCAGGGAGTTAATGAGTTTTAAATCACCTGTGCAACCTTCCTATCTTCATACGGCATTAACGCCTCAGAGGTGATTTTACTAAAAGTGAATCAAACAAATTAATTCATCATGTCTCTAAGCACAACAATATAGCAAAATGAAGTACAGAACAACAACATCCCTTTAAACCACGAGTGAGACAAGTCAGATGAAGAAAGATAATTGTTTTATTATTAATAAATTATATGTGTTGATAAAGACCCTACAGGGGGATTTGTAATCGATGGACATCTGCCTCGAGCAGCAGCGAGATAAATCCCCCCGCGGCGTGGACCTGGTGGTGGTGTTGGCTGATGAGCCTGTTAGAATGATGAATTGATGGTGCCGATGGATTCGATGAAGTTTGGCCGGCAGACGGGGAGGTGGAGGGATGCCAAACAGCAGCATGAGCGTACTGAAGGTAGAGAGAAGGTAAAGATGATGGGCTTGCAATGGCATCGTTTTGTTGTGCTTATTGGATAGAAAAGATCAGCTGATCTAAACAATGGCTGCGTGGAAATAATGAGTGAGCATGCGTGATTGTCAGATGCATGATGAATAAGCTATGGGCTTAGGGATGGAACAGTATCAGTGTCGTCTGGTCTGCGCTATTGAGCTTCATTCCTCGGGTCAATCAATCCACAGGAGCTGAGTAATACATCACATTTTTCCACAGACTTTACTTTGACATTTTGGGTTCCATTGTAGAAACTATGAGGGAACAATACAGACTTGGACAGTTTTAAAATGGCAGATGGTTATTATGGTGATTCACCTTTGGTTCGGACAAAACTGAATTTTAATTCAAAACGACAATTAACGGATTCAAATCTTTTTTTTTTTTTCTTTCCCAGATATTTCGGTGGCCCATCGCCAGCCGGCTGGATGGAAACGAGATGCTGGAAATCCAAGTGTACAATTACAGCAAAGTATTTTCCAACAGGTGAGGTTGCACTGCCGCCCGCAGCTTGTCCTTTAACCACATTTGACGGAACAAACAGCATTTCAGAATAAACTGTTTGTGGCCCCAGTGCCCTTCCTCGCTCCCTGTCACAGCCTGTGACCTATTAAGACCGACAGGTTTCTCGGATGCAGGAGAGTGAGCTCGTATTCCCTGGGAGCTTGTTCTAAATTGACTTGATTGTGTTTGTAAGTGACTGCAAAGCACAGAGCTGCCCGTGAATGAGTTTCCTGCCAAGTGGGAATGAAACTGCAGCGGATCCTCGGTAATGGGCGTATTTGTCACTTTGAAAACACGCTGGGCGTTTCAGTGCAAATTGGATCACACATAGAATCCGTTTGATGCTGTTATTATTATTTAAAGTGTGTTTGTGACACAATACGATTTTTTGGAGAGCAGACACATTTTTCTTTCATTGTTTGTGTGATTTTCAGAATAAATCCAAACCAAGTATTTCAATTATGAGTTATTTAGAGTTCTTGCATCAACAACCAGGGGGTGCGTGAGCAATGCAATGATATTCAAACCCGCAGGATCTGCAAAGCCCTCCATAGAGTGCAAATGAACCATTTGTGCAGAGTTGATGGTTGAAAGGGCGTAATAAAAAAACAAATTCCTCATTACTCCTCCTTATCTTCTTCAGTTTTTGACTCTCTCCTTGTTAGTTCCCCCTGAAGTGTGTTCTCCTCTGCTGCCTCCAGGTCGGATAAGACGTAGACTGCTTGTGCCAGGAGGTCTGTCCACATCGTGTGTCCATAGCAAACCCATTCAGATCATTGCAGCTGCTCCGTCCGTCTAACTGGCTCGCTGGTTGATGTGTCCAGACTGAGGACACATTATGTCGCCCACACAGTCATTAATCCCGGTTGTCCCTGTGTGTTTGTGGATGGATATGTGCTCTGTGTGTGTGCTACAACCTTAATATTTGGTCTGTGTAACCGTATCACGTCGGCCATGTGTGAATGTGTGTAGGCGGAGACGCATTTATCAATGCGTCCCACAATTTCCTCCGAGCTGAAACTCGCTGACAGGTGTGCAGAGGGAGGTGGTTCATCAGTTCTACCGCATGGAAACTTCTTGTCAGGTCATCAGGATGGTTTTCTGGTACCATTGTGTGAAAGAGGAAAACGGAAACAGGACAGTAACAGTTCAAACTGAGTCAGAAAGTGGAGGACATTTCACCAGACTGTATTGCCATTTACCTTTATTATTCTTCACTTTGTTCATGTTATATGTCAACAAATGTAAGACCCACATTCTTATAATAGCGTATGAACTTTCAGGTCTCTGGTTTATCCGTATAGTTTTGAATGAGCTTGTGGATCTTTTTACTTTAATCTTTCTTCAGGTGAAGTTGGTCCAAGACTTTGAGCTAAAACCAAACTCCTGCAGAGCAGACGACATTCTTATCGGTCTTGAAATACTTTGTGTTCAGTGATAATTAGAAAACATGCTAACATGCTTTTTGCTGTCGTATTGCTGTAAAGTTGCATTAAAAAGCCACTTGAAAGCACAAACACACACACAACCCCGCACTTAATGAAGTGGGTAAATAATTCAATATGAGTCATAGCTTGCGTTGCTCTCACACCTGCTCCATATGTCCATAAGCCGCATCATTAGCAGAGTAACTGATCTGCTCCAACACACTGTGAGGTCAGTGTGTCACACTGTGCCACCAGACAGCGTGTGCGATCATATTACCACAACAAATAGAGATCGACGATGGGAGCAGGTCATGTGATTGTATGCTCAAGTCATTTCAACCATAATTGCCTTAAAGTGTAGAAGTCGGGAGTGTTTTTGTTGGCACGTGAACATAATTTAATTCATGAACAGTATTTAGGAAGCATTCATTTCCAGTTTGTGATATTACAACTATTGCAATACTTTTATCAGTGGGCCGTAGAATCAATCGCCAATGTTTTATCTTCATCGGCAATAGATGATGACCAAGTCCCGGTGAAACAGAAGTTTGCACTAAGTATTCTAGCAGTGTGCAGTTACAAAACAAATTTACACAGATTACTTAAAATAATTCATAAATCAAGGGCTTCTAAATGTGACACTTTAATATGTTGTACCTATCGACGTTCCCTCGTCTTTGCATTGTTTTTGTTTAGATTTCTGTTTTTGATTGAGCGACAGCCACAGGACATAGAGATGTGGTTTGCGTCGAGGTGAATCAATAGACATTCATAGACGTTCAGTGTGTGTGTGCACTGTGCCGCCTCATTACTTTTCATTTCACACAGTTTCCGTCTGAGTAGAGTTACTGTACCGGCATCTGTGGTGGATTAATGCCACCTCCAGAACAACAAATATTTTATATTCCACAGCTGGCCTCACCTCCAATTAAGTTACCTAAACCATAGATTTATTTATTTCACAGTCACGCCTCGGTTCTCAGGAGAACCTCGAGGCGCACAAAGGAAATGTGTACCGCTTAAAATGGAAGGCAGCTCTGCATTACAAAAACCAGATGAAAGTCAATTGTTTGCAAAACCTCGATCAATAATGAATGGCACCTTTTGAAGTGCTAAAAAGCGAACCAGAACCTGATAGGCTTGTTCCAGGTAAATTATTCAGCACCTGTACACATGCTACAATTGCGGAAAGGAAACTACGGACCGTATGAGGGGAGTATTGATCCCCGCTGTCTGGGGACGGATTAGGTTAGAACTTTACTGATGTCGCTCAGATGAGCACAGGTGTCTGCTCCTCCTCACAGAAAAAGTTGACTTCAGAAAAGCAATTAATATCCCTCCGGCCTCTCGTGAGTGGAAAAGCCCGGAGGGATTCGGCTGCGAGCCAGCAGCTTTACAGAGCCAGCATCTGCCGACGCCTTCAGGGGAAATGCATTCGTTTTGTTAATAACTTTTCTTAAAAGTTCAGTTGAGTTTTAGACTTCTGAACTTACCTCATTATCAAGTTTCGAAGCACTGGGGGCAGATGTGGCCTCACTTTCGACTGTGCGTTAAATTCATCACCACCAGGCCGCAGGGGAAAGACAGGACAGATGAGGACAGAGAGACGGAGATGGACAAGAAAAGACGGGTTTCTGAAACTCATCTACTCTAGAAGTAACGCACGTGGCTGCGGCTCAGCGTCGGCTGTGCTGCGTCTTTATCGGGTGGTGCTGATTGCGAAGTGGACAACACACTGTTTTGGGGAAACTCTTTAAATTATTCACCAGCTCTAATTGGCGAGCTGAATGGGGACTGTAGCGTGTTTCCTCCCACTGTCATGTTCTGTGACGGATCCTCGAACAGCGGAGAACTGAACTGTATGTCGAAGATTATATGTGATAACAATACAAATCCAATGCTCCAATGTTTCCGACCATGATAACGAAGATCCCCTTAACCCCAAAAAGGCTGTTGTGTTAACCCACGTTGAAATGTTTCCCAATTAAAAATGGGTATTTGAAAATTAGAAATACCATGTAATGACAATTCAAGTTTATATTTAATAGATTTTAGTTTCAATGCCTTGAAAAAGGAATTTAGGTGACACATGTTTGTTGGTTTTTAGGCACTTTTGTTTTATTGGTGCATTCAAAACGATATCAGAATTGCAATTTGGTTTTCGATATGAAAACCATTGATAATCCCAAACTGATTATTACAGATGTGCCAAGATGACATGAATAATACATAATTATTTTAAAATATTCCACTAATTCAGCCATGAGTTTTTACTTTATGAAATATGTTATTATTTTAATGTACCATGCCAGATAATGTTTGTTAATATACTAATCTAATGAAGTAGAATGTTTTTCATGTCAATTAGAAGAAACAACAAGCTGTTCAATTTAAAATGTGTCGCATTTCTAATGTAAGGTGTCTGTAGCCTTCAGCTTTTAGATGAAAGAAAACGGAGACAAAACATCTTTTTCTTGTAATTAAATGGTAACTTCAGAACATATTCATTTTCATTCAGCATGCTGGGTGAATAAATAGTGAATCCTTTTATTTACTTGACCTTGCTGGCATCAATAACAGTATAATTGGCTCGGGAGAAATAGCTTTCTAAAATGTTGAAAGAACTGAGTGGTTAAGAAGAAGCTTCTGGAATACAGTATATGTTTTATTGTTTGCTTAAATGTAACACCAGGGGAGTGGTATTCTCACATCAAGATAAGCTTATACAATAAGAATGTCGCTTATTGTCACACCAACGTTTTAAATTGTGTTCTTAACAGTGCTTTAATGTATATTATAAAGAAGTAACGCAAAATGCCACTTTGTGGCAAAGATACTATTTGTCGATATTTAATAACGTAACGTAACAAGTTGATAAATTACCAATGTGACAGTGACATAGAAAAAGATTCACACATACGGCAGCGGAGCGGCATGAGGGGGTCAAACAAAGGACACCGTGAATTGACTTGTATCGATCAGACATTGGTTTTTAATGAAGCGCGACTCTCTTCTGCTGGTCCCTGCAGACTGGTGGGGACTTTCTGCATGGTGCTTCAGAAGGTGGCTGAGGAGGGACACCTAGAGCTGACCGACACCCTCATCGACGACAACAACACTTCCATAAAGGTAAAGGTTGTTGCATTGGTGGTCAAAAGAATCAACTAATATAAGTTCATATGTAGCCAAGAAATGAGGAGAAAACACCGGTTACATATTGGAATGAGATTTGTATAGAATAATACTCAAGGCATTTAAAATACTTAAATATGGACCAACCATTAAAATGTATTGTAAATGTAAATGAGTTTATAGTTTAATTCTTTTGTATAGCTTGAATTTAAGATCAAATAACAAATAGGTCATCAAGGATATAATTAAAAGGGAAATAGTTTTCAAAAGCTTCAATAAAATGGTTTGTATTGGTAACGTTTAGCTATTATTGCATAGTAGAATTGAAATAGAATTTTAGAAAATGCAGTTTCAAGCATTTAGGACATTTAAGTGGAGAAATAAATCATGCTTATTAAGACACTGGCATCTATGAACAGATATCTGATGGAAATACAACAGTGTCTTAACACCATCAGCACAACACTTAACATTAATCCAGATATTCTCTATTATTGATTAGGAACAGCTAAAGTGGTGACGATGAGCGTTTGAATGATTTGAGATTTGAAAGCACCCGGGGGGGCAGTATTGTGTTAGTGGAGCTGGCAGTGCTGATCTGACGTTTCTGAGATGATAACACACAGCATGGGACTGCTTAAGGGCTTACACCCACCCACACACACACACACACACACACACACACACACACACGCTGACGTATGTGCAAGTAGCTTCCCGTGAAATCACGCATTAAAAAACACACACGCACACACTTCAGAGAATTCCAGCAGTAACCCCCTGCAGGAAGAAACTGAATCCAAACTAAAGTCTTTTAACTAAAGCTGCCCTGGTGTGGTTGCCATGGCGACAACATGCTCGTGCGAGGGGTATATTGCAATCTTATCCTCGTTATAGTTTTGGGAGAATGTACGAAAGAGAGAGAGACCCTCGTTTGTCTCTGTCCACAGAATAAATTGGCTGCTCTGTGATAAAGATGCCGTCATTGTCAGGAGGATTCTATTTGTCCAAACACGACTTCCCAGAAGACGAACTCCAGCGTCATCGACGTTTCTATCCTGGATAAAGTGCGCTGAATTCCCACGGCTCATACGACAATTTTGAAGCACGTTTTAATGAATTTACATTGAAAGACTGAAATCAGACGGGATGGTCAACTCCCCACACTCTGGTTCCATCTTTAAGCCTAATCAATTATCATGGGGGTTCTTGGTTCGAGTCTTGCTAATCAAACCCCAGAGACAGGATCCGTCTGAATTTGAAGTTTTTTAAGATGTGAGAATTCGAAAGCTGCCATGGATACAGATACTTTGTGCGGGTGTTAAAAAAGGAAAGAAGCAAAAGAAACTAACTTGCGATGTCTGCTGATATTGAGACATTCCAAAAATATGTTAATCAAGTCATATTAAATTCAAAATACATTAGCACATGTTATTAGTATAACTGTTTTATACATGCATTAAGAAAAATTACCTTTACGTCAAATGCTTTAAGGTGCACTCTGACCTTTGCCTTTGTTCCTGACAGTTTGCTCATTTCCATCTGTTGTCAGACCAGCGTTACCATAGAGATCCGATACCAGTCGATGGACGGCTCGGTGGGGGTGTGGAGCGACGGCGAGTTCCTTGACGTCCCTGAGGACCGCGACGGGATGTTTGCCTTCGAAACAGAGAGTTTGTTGTCAGGACAGAGCCGCGGGTCGGGGACGTCTCCTGGACGATCCTTGCAGGGATCCATACCGACCTTCAGGAAGTGAGTCGAACACACATTCACGCGACAACAACAGTTAAATCAGGCTGGGAAACGCTGATGATTTGCCTCTGAATATTTAACGACTCTCAAAAAAAAATGTAGTTTTAATTATGTACTTCAGTTAGCGCTCGTTAACTGTAACGGTGCCATTACGGGACGCATTAGGGAAACAATGAGTTGACTGCGTTGAAGTTGACGTATGGATCCAGCTGATGTAGCATCTGTCACTGTTATGGAGGGATAGTTCTTGTCGTTTGAAGTGGGGCTGTCTGAGGTACCGACAGGGAACTGAGGCTGTTATATCCATCTCTTGGCTCTTTTTCAGGTTACACGGATTGCTGGTCTAATGTTGCATTGATCGGTTAGTTTGTTTGTATTAATTTCGGATGCGACAAAGTCACCGTAGGACCCTCTGAACAACAGCACCGGACTGTTAGTTTGTCTTCTCCTGTTTGCTTGCTGTGTCTCTGCAGAGTAGAATATGGCGATGTTTGTGTGTGGTATTGATGAAAATATGATATAAGTTAATATATTTAATATATAAAGTTTTTTGCGGGTGGAATCGATTTCCAGTGAGAAAAACAACATAGCAAGACCACCAAATTCTTCATTAAAGTGCATGTGGAATGCACGTGTTAATGTATGTATGTGTGAAGCCAAATACTGTGAGCTGCATGTTTGTGTTTGTTGACCCTGAGAGGCAAAGGCCTGAGGTCAATTTGACTAATCTAAATTTTAGAGCATCCCACGAGTGTTTATATAAGAGAGTGTTTTGATTTTTTGTCAACGAGGGAAAAAAAAGTACAGCTATGGAGAAATAGTGTACAAGCGTTCAATAAAAGTGGGATCAAATAAGTCATTTTACGTATGAAGCTAAAACTTAATACCAAATTGAATTACATTTTTCTCACATTTCTTTCTAAATGAAGAAGCCACCTGTCCTTGGCTCCTCGTGAGGGCACCTGTCATCAAGTTGCAGAGGTTGCACAGAGCCGTCAGTCAGGCTTTCATTTCAGAGTTGAGTGAGCTGCTGCTCACTAACTTCCAGCATCGCCAGCAAATCCACCTCTAATGTGTCTCACACTGGTGTTGGCCAGACGGGCTTGCAAAAAAGAGGTTTTAATAGCATGTCCACGCCTCATCCAAACCCCTTTAGATCATGAATTTCGAGCCGTTCAGATTTTATCTGCTTGAGATGTTTTTAGAATGAATCTATTTTTTAAAGTGTTCCACTGTGTCCTGAGTTCTTTCACTATGCAGCCAGGGCCTAATGTTACATATATCGCTAATGGGATATATCCTAAATTCCTCCTCAGCTACTTCACCTCAGAAATATTTTTAATCTTTAAGCCAAATTCATCGGAAGACTACAACTATATTATAGAACTTGTGAAAGTATTGCAATCAGCTGTCTGAAGTCTTTCTGAGTCTTCTGACACGTTGAAAGAACACTGCTTATACTATATTTGCACGCTCTTCAGAGAACTACTCTGTTGAGAATCTTCCCCACAGAGCAGCACCACCTATGAGTTGAACGCATGGATGCAGAGAAAGAGAAGAACTGTGTCTACATGGTACGAGGAACTCCACCCACACCTGCAGCCTGAGGGTCATTGATACTGCTCACACCAGTTTTCAGTGGGAATTTCATTTTAACTGTGTTTGACTGCAGGTGTAGCTGGCTTGGTAGGGTATATCTGGTCCCTCCTCCCCTTAATTGAGTGAAATTGCACGCAAAGTGGACCGTCCCACTGCTACCACCTCTCATTTCTGCAGCTTCCACATTGCAGGATGATTCATGGCAGTGCCAATGAAGTATTTTGTGCTAACTGTGATGCCACAATGAGCCGGCTTTGCAAGTGTTTCTGTTATTAATATTAATCTTAATAAATAAATAACCGTCTCCATGGTTTTACTGCCAGCAAAACAGAACTGCTGAATGGCGCATGCAGAAGAGCACATATGCCGGAAATGAAGAGAGATGATTTGGGACGGCAACTTTCATGTGAACAAAAAAGAGATGAAACGTGGCTGCACATTAGAGTGTGATCATACTTTAACACTGGTGCAACAGGCCAATAGTTTTCTTTCTTTTTTAGAAACAAGTCATGAATTGTTTTTGCTTCGCCTCACTGCAAAGTATTGCTGTAAACAGTTATTGTGTTTATTCAAACCTTTTTAAAATGCATGATTGATTTGCATAACATCAAATAGGCCCTCAAAGGAGATCATTCAGCACGGGCGCAGCTTCCGTTGAAAGGATTCGTTTACCGAAACAATCATTCATTTACGTGTCATGATTTCTTTTTCAAAGTGTGTTGTTCATTTGTCCATCGGCATAAATTGCTGTTTCTTCAGAAGCAGCTCTGGCATCACACGTGCATGTGATGCATCTTCACTCGGCGCTATAATGCAGGTGTCGACGGGCCCTTTTTTATCAGCAGCTCACTGCAGCACCGACTCCCTGTGGAAACTTTCATAACAACAGACGTTTCGCCGAATGCGGAAGCCTGCGATTCTTATACGATATTGAATGAATATGAATTTAAAATATAGATTTTGTGTCTTTACTACCATTTGGATTACTGTCAGCTTTCAAATGTACAGCACAGTACGCCCTTCTGCGAGTTGACACATCGCTGACACACTGCAATCAGAAATGAATCTTCACGCAATCAATTTCCGCTCTGGCATTAAATCACAGCAATTTTACCAAATCGATCGTTTGTGGTTTTAAGTTAACTGAAGGAAGTATTGGTCATTTCTTCTTTTGCTTGGTTTCCTTTTGCACAGGCTGAATTTAAGCAGATGTCTTTTGGGCATTTCTTGTTTCTTGTTGTGTAGCTTCATTCTCTTGTGAGGCTGCTTTGTGTCTGTCAGCTCCTCGCTCGTGTTTTGTTTGGCCCTGCAGCGGTTTTTCATTCTCAGCTTGCGTCATAGTACAGTGTGTAAAACATTGCATTGATGAGGACGTGAGGAAATGCCTCTAGCTGTAATATGCAGTTAGATAGGAGTCTTCTCATGAGAGAATATTATTCGTGAGATGACTTAAAAGGAAACTCCTTTGGAATCCCTTACACGTAATCAGGAATTTTGAGAAGAAATGTACATTTTGTTTCTGAAAGCCCCCAAAGTTTTGAGGATGAAAGTCCTTTTTTATGTCATACCAGCAAAAATAGATGTACTTTCTTTTACTCTTATCTCCCTTTTCATTTTCCTCTACTGCCTTTCTTCTTCTTTTTTCTTGCTTGCTCAGTTTGCATTTTTGAGGAGGATTAGCCACAGAAATGCACCGTAAAACAATATGGAGACATATTGAGGGTAAGGTCACGAGCTACGTTGGCAAGTTCCCATGCAAGAATATCAATTACTGCATCCGTTTGCTTTTTTTATGGGTAAATTAAGCAACTAAACCAAAGTGCTCCAGAAGAGAGGCCAATATTACAGGGATATATAGATGTTGATTTTAGCAGTTGTAGTAACGTAGACGTTGTCAAAGTGGGGCACAAAGAAAGAAATCCGCCTTGACAGACGACTGTCGACCATTCAGAGGTTTCAGCATGTTTTCATGTCTCAAATGTGTTCAGATCAGGTAGAACCGATCTTTGTCCGGCTTCAGTCCTTCCAGCAGGCATCCAGATAATGTGCATCCAATCTATGGCTGTGAGAGTAAGTGACGGAGTGTACTAGTGTTTAGGATATCTCACTGAGGCCCATTAAGCAGAGCTCCCAGAGCAGAACGCACCTGACAGTATACGTCAATGAATTATTGATCGCCGGTGGGGTTCATTTTATCTTCCTTACTTATAAAAACGCACGCAAAAGGACAACACACAGGCAGGCGAGGGGAACGTCTTCGTCACTTACATAATGGCGATAAATACCATACGTCCTATTTTCAAAATAAAACAAAACAACTGGATTCATGCCTCTCTAAACGTTGGCAACTCATTACCAGAAAGAACATAAATTCCTCACAGAAAGTCCATAACATTATAAAGATAGAGTACAATAAGACTTCAATATGCACAGTAATTAATGCAGAGACGAGTCACATCAAAGCCCGCCGAGCTCTGCTGATCCGAGGCGTCACAGAGAGAAGCTACAGGAGAGACCAGACCACTGGTGGCAAAGCCACCACACCTCAACGAATTCCCATATGAACCCAACAGTAATGGAAGAGATCCTATTTACCACTCCGAATAAGTAAGCGATGCCTGCAGAACAGAAACCACTTTCTGTGAGTACATATCTCACTTACAGAGATGTCCATTTCTCTCCATATTCTCTCCAAAGAATCTGGAGTGAGCATCGGTTCACACACTCATCGTCTGCTCCGCAGCGCATTAAAAAGGAATTCACAACGGCGGGGAACATATTTCATGCACAGTTTTATGAAGGAGATGGAAATGACGTTGCCAGGTACCTTTGATGTAAACCAGCTTCTGTTCGATAATTCATCAATGCCATTTACACTTGGTACAAGGTGCATGGTCTGATTATGAATTATTGCACAATCCCCCCCCAGATATACTTTAGTACATTTTAAATATGCAACAGTGGGCTTATCGTGGAGGTTAGCACTGTTGCCCCACAGCAAGAAGGTCCTGGGTTCGATTCCGCCCAGTGGCCTTTCTGTGTGGAGTCTGCATGTTCTCCCAGTGTCTGCGTGGGTTCTCTCCGGGTTCTCCGGCTTCCTCCCACAGTCCAAAGACATGCTCTGGGGATCAGGTTAATTGGGGACTCTAAATTGCCCGTAGATGTGTGAATGTGAGTGTGAATGGTTCTATGTCTCTGTGTTAGCCCTGCGATTGGCTGGCGACCAATCCAGGATGTACCCTGTCTATCCCCCGAAGTTGGCTGGGATGGACTCCAGTCCCCCCCGCGACCCGGTGTGCAGGATAAGCGGTTTGACAATGGATGGATGGATGGAACAGCGGGCTTATTATGTCTAAATCTGCAGGACAAAGTAGCGCTTAATTTTGCAGTTAATATGAAAGTAACTGATGCATATGTAGTTCATTAAAGAACCGGGGAACACAAGGTCTAAGAACTTTCATAAAAGGTCTTTCCTTCCTTCCTTTGTATTTTTCTTCTAAGGTTTAGTATTTGCATGTTTCTGTGACTCAAATTAGAAACCCCAGTTTCAAACTCTCTGTTTGCCTTCTCACCGACGTCTTGACCTTTTAATTCTGTCAGTTATTATTAAGTGAGTAACTCAGCAGAGGGAGGAAGTAAAACAACTTTCAAGGTACATCTACTTTTAAACTCTGATGTTTGTCTCTGTATTCATTATTCTCTCGGCTCAGCGAAAGGCAAAGGAAAGAAACTGGAGGGATTCCAGTAAGTCAAACATCGGGTGGCTCAGTTGTTTTTTCTTTTACTTGAAGTCACTGTTCTTTTTCCAAAGAGCAATCACTGCTCACACTTTCCCGACATGTTACTGTGACCTTGTAATTGCTCCTAGAAGCAAAGGCAGAGGTAACAGGACTTTGTTATAGTGCCAAAAACGTGTACCATCCTGTGACTGACTTTGACACAGAGTACTCTCTACTTTAAACCGGGATTATTTCTATTACCGAATAGCTTTGGTCAGACAAAGTGCTGCCTGAGCAGAGAGTATTGTTAACGCTTCTCTGTCTCTAGGTCTTCTTCATGCACGGATGCAGGAAAGTAACATTAACATTTAGGATTTATTTTCAAGCATATTTGGTCCCCAGTTGGTCGAATGTAAAGGTAATTTTAATCTTTAATCATTTGCATATTTCCAAACACTGACCTGATGCCACTAAGGTTCCCTTCTTTTTTTTACAAACACAAACACTGTTTTCTTTTCTCAGTTCAATATAACACGATGTTTAAGTCAGTTCGTTATGAACTCTTCTTTGGTGGTGTGTAGAGCCACCTCTCTCTCTCTCTCTCTCTCTCTCTCTCTCTCCCCCCCTCTCTCTCTCGCATCCCCCACTGATCTGGCGAGCTGCTTTGTGGCCCGGCTGGCCTGGACGATCTGCAGCTAACAGGTGGAGGCTGTAGAATAGAAAGAAGCTCCGGGGAGAATTCTGGGCAGATTTAAGGCGATCTGACCTCTGTGGAGTTGAGTAGGATCAGTGGTGTCTTTCATGCGGTATGTATGGAACACATCGTCTCACACATTGTGGCACGTGTGTCTTTTGTTTTGGTGGCTCGTCGCTGGATCATAAAGTAGACAAGCAGGTGAACTGGACCGTCTGATTATGCGATGAACCGACGCTACAACCCGCCGTAATTAGATTATCTATAAAGTGCTTTTCAGTTACTGGGTTTCATTTTCTACTCTGGGTCGGATGCCTTTTTTTCAATAGCTTTGGACTTTTGCGGATTGGAAAACAAATATTGATTGTTTCAGCATTCCAGTTAGAGTTAACAGGTGTTACATCCAAAGCCATTTCCAAATTACTCTGCTGTAAGTAAATACAAAGGTTGCTTCGTAGAATTGCAGTGTGAGCGACCTTGATTTGATTTTACCAAAAAAGTGTTTCTCATTTTATCAATGAGCGATTCCTCCGTCCGTCTTTATATAACTGTTCCAAATGCCTCCAGACTTTTACTTACAAATAACTCTAACGAGATGGAAAAACCATCCGCTTGTCCACATTCCATCGATGAGGTTGGAGGTCACCTCAAGACCACCTGAGGAAAGATCAAAGCGGGAATCAAACTCGGACACATTCAACTCTGAACGTTCATTTCTTTACAAGTATCCGTATCCGCAGCTAATTGGACGCTCACGCTCCTTTTTAATTATTAAGGCCCCTCATTTGTCGTCCCTCTGATGACATCACATGCTCTTTGTTGTTGCCCCTGACATTTAATCCAGACAATTTCATTGTGGCGACACCGGATACTCTGGCTTTGTGATTGAGGGCTCGGTGGTGTGCAGCAGGGGAGGGGGATTGAATCCTTTGAAATGAGATGTCTAGCCGAGTTACATAGATGTCCATGATATAAATTCTGGTGTTGGGTAGCAATTCTGGCTAAATCCGCAGCGAGTCACGATCAGTGATAATCCATTTCTCTTGTGGTTCCGAGTCTTCTGAGTGAAGAGTGATTTTCATGAGAACATAATGAAAATCCTCCTCCTCTCTTCTGCTCGCTCTTTCTCCTCCACCAGAGCAGGGAAGGGAGTCTTCTCAGCCATGAAGCTCGGCAAGATCAGGAGCTCCAGGGACGATCACAAGAGAGGAGGTAAAGAACCATCCATTTAACCCCAAATTAAATTAAATCAATTACATTTTTACACTTTTTGTTATCCTGGAATTCAGCAAAGGAGGCAAAGTGGATGCCATCAAAATAAAGAAAACATTCATTTTGGGTTCTGGGGTGATTTTGTCATTCAGATGAGCCGGCGGTTCTGGACATGGAGGACCTGGACCGGAAGGCGATGCGTCTCGCTGGATTCGTGGACCCGGACACCATTTCTCTGGCCTCTGTTACCGCCGTCACCACCAACGTCTCCAACAAGAGGTCTCATTTCTGCATTGAGACATGAGAAATATCTAGTGATGCTAATTAATGGCAAATATATATATAATATATATGCCATTAATTAGCATCAATTAGTTGGTAATCACAGACTTCAATGTTCAATGTTGAAGCAAAGGTGAATGTCACTCTTGTGTTGTGGTTCTTAAGGTCAAAGCCAGACATCAAGATGGAGCCGAGCTCTGGACGCCCAGTGGACTATCAGGTGTGTGTGTACCTGGGTCTTTGTGCGTGAACACATATGTGTTTTTATTTCTATTTGTGTCCACACAGCTTCCATGTTCGCTATGCAAATTATTTCAAATTGTGCCGTTGAATGTACCCTCCACGAAATAGTTCATTTGGGTTAAAAGATAAATCCCAGCATCATTATTGGCTGCAGACTTTTTTCTTGTTTCCTCTGTTTTCCTCTAATTAAACCGGTGGGATATAACTTGGACGCAGGAATAATGTAGTTCATCCAACCAATGCTTCATTAATCAAACCAAGAGAGAAAAAACACACAATGTAGCAAAAGCTACACTGACTGGGATCACAATCATTATTTTTGTGGAACATCAATCAAGCTTTGGGGAGGGTTATGGGGGTTTACCTTGAATTAACAGGATTTAAGGCGATAGAGACTGTTGGAGGACAATTCAACTTGTCTTCATATAATAATCACATGGGATGTGGATCAGATCAGCATCACGGTGATCGAGGCCCGGCAGCTGATAGGCCTCAACATGGACCCCGTGGTGTGCGTGGAGATCGGAGACGACAAGAAATACACGTCTATGAAGGAGTCCACCAACTGCCCGTACTACAATGAGGTGAGACTCAGCTTTAAGAACTCACTGCAGGAACGCAGCTATAAACTAAATGAGAACTTCCTTTCGACGTCAGCAACGTCTGTTAGATAAGCCCATGATGGATCATTTACTGCTCTGTCAGTGCTGTCTTTGATGGTCTAATGATGTAGAGATTTATTGACCTTTAACATGCCACATATAAAGCTTTTGGCTCCTAAAAGTGTTCCTAAACGGCAGACCGTATATCTCGGTGGGACGCGTTGGTAATGTCGAGGGTCACTCAGAGCTCAGCCTCTCGATTGTGTCCTGCAGGGAAAGGAAGGAACAGTTCATCTATATTATCGATCCGCTCTGTAAGTCCCCTGTGGACGGACAATCCATGCTGTCTCTCCTCGTATCAGTCCGTGCTGTTGCAGACAGGTGCAGACTTTTCAGGACTCGTCCTCTGGATTCACATCTGGCCCTCTTGGCTCACATCATACGAGCTTTCATCACGTGCGTCCCGTGTCCCTCTGCTTTGTTCCTACTTCAGTAGATCCGATCCTGACTTAACAGCACACGTTCTCTCATCTTGAAGTGATAATAGCTCCGTGGTTTGAGATGTAGCCTGAAGCAAAGTCAATGACGTAAAGTGCTTTGGTTTTTCAGTGTTATTATGTGTGTCCACTGTGAACAAACACTAAAAACAGATTAAACAATCTGACAACTTCAAAATAATCCCATGAGACAAATCTGAGTGCTTGAGTGTGCGCTTGATTGACGCTGCCCGTAGCAGAGTGGCATACAGAAAAGGTGTGGCAATTCTTTGATAAATAACTGCACACTAAACTTCAAGAATAATTTAGAAGAAAGACTGTTATCCAGTAGAATAAGGAACGTAGGTTTTTAATTCCTTTAATTGAATTTCTCTCCACTCTCTGCAGTATTTCGTCTTTGACTTCCACGTCCCTCCTGACGTCATGTTTGATAAGATCATCAAGCTTTCAGTAAGTAAAAACACAAACAGAGATAATGCTAAACAGACCCTTTCTAACAATTTGGTACATGTTGTGGTGCATTGGTTGTAATGCTTTAATCTAATGTTTAATGTTTATAGAGCACATCCAATTCAAATATATATATTTTTAATGACCAACAACTGAATGGTGAAGATAATCAAACCGCTACACTAAAATGACTGACCTTTCCGTGTATAAATGAGTGTGACGGCATGAAAATATATTGTTGTTCTCAGTAAAAAAAAAAGCACGATACTGTAGTGCTCTTTGTTTTAATGTTTTATTCTCAATTCTCTCTACGTAGGTCATTCATTCTAAAAATCTTCTTCGAAGTGGGACATTGGTGGGAACCTTCAAGATGGATGTAGGGACTGTTTACTCTCAGCCTGGTAAACTGCGAGCTGTAGCTGCAATATGAATCTAACAGCTGATCGTAACACACATTCATTGTCTTCTTCGAAATATTCAAGAACGAATGCGTGATGATGATTGCGCGTGATTGACTAATTGATCGACGTCCATCCTAGAACACCAGTTTTACCACAAATGGGCCATCCTGTCCGATCCTGATGACATCACAGCGGGGTGTAAAGGATACGTGAAGTGCGACATCGCCGTGGTGGGGAAGGGCGACAACATCAAGACCCCACACAAGGCCAACGAGACCGACGAAGACGAATTGGAGGGGTAATGTGCCGTTACCCGTTTTCTTTGACATGCGGACGTAAATATAGTGTCGAATATTTTTAAAGTAAATCCTAATAAAGCTTATTCTACCATCTTTGATTTTCCTAAACGCGGGTAATAACTCCACAATCTCGTCTCTCAATGAGTTTTTTGTTTTCTTCCAGGAACCTCCTTCTCCCAGAGGGCATCCCAGTGGAGAGGCAGTGGGCCAGGTTTTACGTGAAGATCTACCGTGCTGAGGGACTTCCCAAAATGAACACCAACATTATGGCTAACGTGAAGAAGGCCTTCATAGGAGAGAACAGAGACCTGGTGGACCCCTACGTTCAAGTGCAGTTTGCTGGGCAGAAAGTAATCTTTTTGCTATTTAATAGGAGGGCAATTTCTCCCTGAGGGATAGTTCATGCTCCCATAGAATATCGCATCCCCACATCTGTAGTGGGAATTTTCTATGAGCATTTTGTATTATTTATTATTATAGGAAAGCACTGCAGCATGTGTACTCGATTCAAGCTTTTCCACGCATCTCACACACAAATTAACACAAAAACCTATCAAACATACATAAAACCCATACAGTATCGATAGATTACAAAGGGGAAGACAGAAAAGAAGAAGGATGCCAGTTCTTATTAGAGTATTATACTATAAGTGTTTAAACTTGAGATGTACCACCATAATTCCCACCTAACTGCTCATTGCAAATGGGATTTTTTTTATGAGATTTTTTTTTAAATATTTGAGTATCCCTCCTTCATGTTTTCCTCAGGGGAAGACTTCAGTCCAGAAGAGCAGTTACGAACCAATTTGGAACGAGCAGGTCGTGTTCACCGAGCTGTTCCCTCCACTCTGCAAACGCATCAAGGTCCAGATTCGAGACTCGGATAAGGTCAACGATGTTGCCATAGGAACCCACTTTGTTGACCTTCGCAAAATATCAAATGATGGTGATAAAGGTAGGTCAATGCACTGGTCTCATTAGTATTGATTGGCTGTCAAGGACATTCATTAGTCCGTCTTAACTACTTATTACTTTACTGTATGTGGTAATTAGCTGTGCTTGATGAATCGAACATCGTGACTCACCCGACCCTTTGGAAATTGCTGTGTGAATTTATGGGGATTACATTCAAATTTACTTCAAATTTTCTATCAATGGATAGATTAGCATATATTAAATGAAAGTGTAATTTCCATTAATATCGCTAATTTCTGGGGGAAATTCACCACAAAGCAAATATACAGTGCTGTTTCTGTCTACTTCTTACCAGTAGAGAAACAATTGTTGAGAATGATGAGTGATTTCCACCATTATGCATCAGACAATCAAGCGTGGCACCTTGCTTACAGTTCTTTAATACTAGAAAAAACAATATATAGTCAAATTGAGGCAAAAGTCGTATTAAAGGAAGTACAATTTTGCTATGTTTGCCATGACGGCGCTGTCAAAGGGTGATTGTAAATAACCACGTCATCTCATCTCCAGGGTTCCTGCCCACCTTGGGTCCCGCTTGGGCCAACATGTACGGTTCCACCCGTCAGTACACTCTGATGGACGAGCACCAGGACCTGAACGAGGGTCTCGGAGAAGGTGTGTCCTTCAGAGCCCGCCTCCTGCTCTCTGTCGCCGTGGAGATCCTCGATACCACTTCCCCCGAGCTCATGAGCTCCACCGAAGTGCAGGTGGAGAGCGTCTCTAACATCTCCGAGGTAAGAAGACCCAAATGCGGACGCGGCTAAGTGGGTTTGGTTTTGGCTGTTGTACTTGATAGGAAATCACAAAATAGGTTTTTGTGATATTGTTCTATCCTGACTTTTTTTTTCATGAGAACATGCTAGAAGACCTCCTCTCATCTCCAAAATATTCAGTACCACAATACACCAAAGGGTCTGCAGATGTGTAGTCAACTATTCATCAGTGAAAGAAGAAACATTAAGGGTTTTTCTTGCAGTAAGTTTGCCAGCCGTTTTGCTATAAATCTGTCCCCTGTGGATCCTTTGGTCAGTCTGCGCCAGCCGTCACGTACTTAGCTTTGATGTAGAGTCAGATTCCTAATTGAATCAAATAAATAAGAAATACTGTAAATAAACTAATGTATTTACTTTGTAACAAAAAACAATATTCACTATCTGGTGGAGAATATGTTGAGCTGGCTCTGGTCCATTTCTGTTAGTCTGATTGATTTAGGTTGTTGGAGATGCCAATCTCTATTGGATTGTCCCGTTGAATCAGCTCCATCTGTTCTGGACTTGCCCTGTTAAACCATTTAAGGCTTTAATGTTTTTTACGGTTATTGCAAAAAGGGTCATTTTGAGGAAATGGAATGGTTTTAAGAATTGGGTCAATGTTATGTCTTAATTTGGAGGACGCTTGGTAATCATTATAAAACAAAATAATATTTCAAACAACCATTTGAATGTGGAAAAATCAATATAGGGCAGAACAAATCCAGTGGCTCACTAATTTAGAGAAGAGGCAGGAGCATTTCATGTGGTAAGAGAATCACAGAAAAGAGCAAATGCAGTAATTCTTCAAAAAACTCTACAACAAAATCAATGTATTTTAGTTCAATGGAATGTTTTGCTATTTCTTAATTCTCCTCCCTCCATCAGAGCGCCACTGGGAAAATAGATGAGTTCTTCCTCTTTGGTTCCTTCCTGGAGGCCACCATGATAGATAGGAAGATTGGTGACAAAGCGATAAGTTTTGAAATCACAATAGGTAAAGAAACGTTTCCTTCATCTTGTTGATATTGACCTGCACTGCACACTTTTACAATTTGTCAAAGAGATGTGACATAGAAAAATCAATGTAACCGAGCAAACTCAGGGGACAACACGATTCATCCGCCTGCTAACAGGTAACTACGGCAACCAGATAGACGGCGTAAGCAAGCCTTCGTCGAGAAAGAAGAAGAAGAAAGATAGCGAGAACGAAGAAGAGGAGAGCGAGCTCATACATAACTCCAGTGACGACGAAGCGGACGAGGACGGGGACCTGGTTTCTGTCTCCTCCACTCCGCCAATGAAGCCCGTCATCACTGACAGGTCAGGGGTCAAGCGTCACAAGGGGCAAGGTTTCACAATGTTTTCTGTGCAATTGGGGCTGCTTAAGAATATAGGCAAGTCATTTTTTTTCTCCATTTGTAGGAATTATTTCCATCTTCCCTACTTTGAAAAGAAGCCGTGTGTCTACATCAAAAGTTGGTGGCAGGACCAAAGACGACGACTTTACAACTCCAACATGATGGACAAGATTGCTGACAAGCTGGTCAGTATAAACCTGTATTCCCTTTATTTTATATGCAAAGGTTGGTTTAAATCAGAACTTAACGTGAGTTGTTTTAGTAACAATAAAATAAAGTAGGCAAATGTTAACATGGACATGCTTACATTCTGGGGTTAAGGAGGTTTAGTTTGGTGTGTTAGCGGGTTGAGGCAGCTGATAGGACTGTGAGTGTTACAGGTCAGGAACCAGTAAATTGGGAAAATCTTGCAGTGATTATGTCATTTTCCATCAAATTCGTCTGATAGATATTTCAATAGTTCCCTTAGAACCGAAAATGTCAACCTCAATGTGGTGGAGAGGAAGAGTCGAGGAATCCTTTAATTCCGTAGGATTTATCCTCTGGGCATGATTGTCTGTATAACATTTTATAGCATAAAGATACTATATATATATCCTTAAACTATACTGTTTCACTATGTATAAGACATTAAAACTATATAAACCTTGTTAATCCTAACAACTTGTTTCTGTCTCAACAGGAAGAGGGTGTGAATGACGTTCAGGAGATCATTAAGACGGAGAAGGCTTTTCCAGAGCGCAGACTGCGCGGCGTGCTGGAAGAGCTCAGTGTCGGCTGCAGGCAAAGATGCTTAAATACTAACAATAAGCTGTCATGGTTGTGGTAACCCAGGGGGAGTGAGGCCAGATTCGGGCGTAAAATAAGAAACTCAGACAGCAAATGCAAACAAAAAGGGTCCTTTTAATAACAAAGGTCAAAAACTACGGCTCTTCCAACCGGCTTCCAACCTGAAATATGTGGCGTCTCCTCCTACGTGGCGCCCGCTTCCTTGTCCTGTTAGGAGTAGAGTAGAGCGGTGAGTCCTGGGGGTTACCTCCTCTCCGACGTCTGCTCCCGTCCGGTCTCTTCTCCTCTCCTTATCTAGGGACTGCTCTGATTACCAGATAGGCCGCAGGTGTGACCAGTGCCACGTTCCCAGTGGCTGGAGCACCTGCACAGGATAATAAATCCCCCTTATCACCTCCCCCAACCGGAGCTTGGGGCTCCGCCCCAAGTGCTTTGTTCCTCCCCCTGGTTTGCCACACACCCCCTCCACCAGCTCCAGGTTGGGGCTAGGAGCGTCAACGAGATAGCATTCTTCCCTCCTGGACAAGGCGTCTGCGTTTCCATGTGCTTTTCCCGACCTGTGCTCAACAGAAAAATTAAAGTTTTGCAGTTCGAGGAACCACCGTGTAACTCGTGCATTAGTGTCTTTGGCTGTAGACATCCATCTCAGTGGTGCGTGATCCGTTACCAGGGTGAATTTTCTGCCCAGGAGGTAATACCGCAGCTTTGTCAGGGCCCATTTTATTGCCAAACATTCTTTCTCCAACGTTGAATAATTGATCTCATGCTTTAGCAACTTACGGCTGATATAGGTCACTGGGTGTTCTTCTCCTCCTCTGACCTGGGACAGCACGGCTCCAAGCCCTGATCCAGAGGCATCTGTATGGACGATGAACGTGTCCTCAAAATTAGGGGTGCTTAAAATTGGCTCGGTGCACAGGGCCCTCCGAAGGGTTGTAAAGGCTGCCTCAGCTTCGGTGCTCCAGAGGACCTGGTGTGGGTGGCTGTTTTTCGTCATCTCGTGTAAAGGGGCTGCAATAGTAGCAAAGTGGGGTATAAAGCACTGATAATAGCCGACCAGGCCGAGGAACGTTTTTACTTGCCGCTTCGTGGCTGGCTTAGGCCAGGTGGCAATGGCCTCCACTTTCCGGGATTGGGGTCTCACACTGCCTCTCCCAATGGTGTAGCCGAGGTATTCCGCCTCCTCCAGGCCAAGGTGGCACTTTTTTGGGTTGGCGGTCAGGCCAGCTCTCCGTAGGCTTCCCAGGACAGCTTTCAGGTGGCCTACATGGGTGGTCCAGTCGGGGCTGTGTATGACCACATCATCTAGGTAGGCCGCTGCATACTCCCGATGAGGTCGGAGCACCTGGTCCATCATTCTTTGGAACGTAGCTGGCGCTCCGTGGACTCCGAAGGGCAGGACTCTATAGTGGTACAGGCCTTCTGGGGTAGCAAACGCTGTCTTCTCTTTGGCGGTTTCTGTGAGGGGAACCTGCCAGTAACCTTTAGTGAGGTCGAGCATGGACACAAACCGGGCTGGGCCTAATCGCTCTATTAACTCATCAACCCTCGGCATGGGGTAAGCGTCAAATTTTGAGATTTCGTTCAATTTTCTAAAATCATTGCAGAATCTCTCGCTGCCGTCGGGTTTTGGAGTCAACACAATCGGGCTGGACCATGCACTGTGTGACTCCTCAATAACGCCCATCTCCAACATCCTTCTCACCTCTTCTTTGATGGTCTCCCTTTTTGCCTCTGGTATGCAGTAGGGTCGGAGCCTCACCTTTTTCCCAGGTTCGGTGATGATGTCGTGGTTAATCACCGTGGTCCTTCCCGGCATGTCTGAAAAAACATCTTTGAACTGCCCAGTTAGTTCCACCATGTCTTGCCGGTGGGTCGGACTCAGATGGGGGCCCAGAGGTACCTGTGAGGGGACACGATCTTGGGTTTCGGTGGTTAGTGCGGCCATCGGAACACTGTCAGGGGCGTGCCATCTCTTCAACAGATTAATGTGATATATTTGGCAGATTTTCCTCCTTCCCGGTTGTCTTACCTTATAATTCACCTCCCCCACCCTTTCGATCACCTCATAGGGTCCATGCCACTTTGCCAGGAATTTGCATTCCACCGTTGGAATCAGGACCAAGACAAACTCTCCCGGCTGGAACTCCCGTAGCTGAGCTCTACGGTTATAGATTCTGGCTTGGGCGTGTTGGGCTTGTTGCATATGCTCCCGCACCAGGGGCCATACCTTAGCCATCCTGTCCTGCATCTGGTCGACATACTCTATGGCGGAGCGATGGGCTGATGGCTGTTGCTCCCATGCTTCTTTGGCCAGGTCCAGCATGCCCCTGGGTCTCCGTCCATACAGCAGCTCAAATGGTGAGAACCCTGTGGACGCCTGGGGCACTTCGCGGATTGAGAACAAGACAAAGGGGATTAGTTGGTCCCAGTTTTTCCCCTCCACGTCAATAGCCTTCCTTAGCATTTGTTTTAAGGTTTTATTGAAACGTTCTACCAGGCCGTCCGTCTGTGGGTGGTAGACAGAGGTTCGTATTTGGCTCACCTTCAGCAGTTTACACATCTCCTTCATCACCCGAGACATGAAACAGGTTCCCTGGTCAGTAAGGACTTCCTTTGCAATCCCAACTCTACTAAAGAGAAGGAATAATTCTCTCGCCACCGCTTTAGCACTTGCGGTGCGTAACGGGACCGCCTCTGGGTACCGGGTGGCATAATCCATGATAACCAGGATAAACCGGTGCCCCCTACTGGACTTCGGCAAGGGGCCTACTATATCCATGGCCACCCTCTGGAATGGGATGTCGATTATTGGTAGTGGTATTAGTGGATTCTGGTAGTTTACCTTCGGCGCCGTCTTCTGGCATTGTGGGCAGATTTGGCAATAATCCTGGACCGCCTTCTTCACCCCCGGCCAGTAGAAGCGCTCCCGGACTCGGTCGTAGGTTTTCTCCACCCCCAAATGAGCTCCCAACAGGTGGGAGTGGGCTAGGTACAACACTTTGTTAATATAGCGCTTGGGGACTAGCAACTGTTCCACCACCCGTTCCTCCAGCTTTGCCACCCTATACAAGAGGCCATTCTTGATTGAAAAGTGTGGAAAGGTGCTAGCACTTACCCCCGCCACCGGTTCTCCCTCGACCACAGCCAGGTTCTGTCGCGCTTGTTCCAGGTTAGGGTCCTCCCACTGGGCCGTCCCAAACTGCCCGGGCCTGGTGGAAGATGCCTCTTCTGCCAGTGGGAACTCCGAAAAAGCCTCGTTCGAAGACCCTTCAGTTAGTCGGGGATCCCTCCTTGTCGGGGCCTCCGCTGGGGCCGGGGCCTCCGCTGGGGCCGGGGCCTCCGCTGGGGCCAGGGCCTCCTCCTCTGTCCCTTCTGCAGATGACGTGGTTGGGCTAGATGGGGCTGCACAGGCATGTGCCACCTTGACTTTCTGGTCCCTACCAGGTTTCTTGGTGGGACAGTTTCTTCGGTGGCCAGCAGTCCTGTATGCCCACAAACGCCAGAATATCGGGCAGTCCCGCCCAATCAGCACTGGTACCGGCAGATTTTCCACTAAGCCCGCAACAACCTCAAATGTGCCCCTGGTGGTCTGGACCTTAATGTGGGTCGTGGGATACTCTCGTGAATCCCCGTGGACACAGGAGACTGGGATAGGGGGTCCCCTGGGGCCAGAGGTCAACCCGGGCCGTAGGAGGGTGACCGCACTGCCGGAGTCGAGTAGGGCTTCAGCATCCTGGGTCCCTATTCTGACCGGCAGCTTTGGGGCCCTGGCGCCCTCATGAGCCCAGCACGTGGTAAGATAGCTGTCGGCCTTCCGTGGGGAGTCGGAGGAGCCCGCCGTAGGCATCAGAATGTCTTCTCCCGGACAATTCCACGCTATATGGCCCTCTTGTCCACAGGCAAAGCATTTTCGCCGGTCCGGATTCACAAAGGGGCGGCGCTGGAGGGATGGCTGGGGCGGACCCCCTTGGGGCCTCGGGCTTGGGCCCAGTGCCTCCGTGTCGCTCTTCCTCAGCCTCTGCCTGTCTCTCCTGGGGTCCGATTGGCTGGGTGGCCTACTGCTTTGCATCAACTGTACCGTGACCTGGTGATTCTCCAACAGCGTCACTAGGGCATCTACTGTCTCTGGGCAGCTTTGAGAAGCGTGTCGTTTGGCACCCCCGGGTAAGGCTCTGATACAGCGATCCATGGCAACTCTGTCAATCGCTGGAGGCCCCTCCCCCGAGGTTAACCAACTGCGTGTCAATCGCATCAGCGTTGCAATTTGCGGCCGCACTGGGGCAGTAGCGTCATACTCCCAGGCGTGGAACTGTTGGGCCCTCGTCTGCAGGTTGTGTCCATAATGGGCCAAAATCGCAGCTTTCAATGCCCCATACTGGTTTACGTCAGCGGGGGAAAGGTCCCGGCAGGCTTTTTGAGCTTCGCCAATTAAAAAAGGGGCTAGAATCCCTGCCCATTGTGCTCTAGGCCAACGTTCCCTCTCTGCAGTCCTTTCAAAAACCTCTAGGTAGGCCTCAATGTCATCCTCACCGGTCTGCTTGGTGAGAACTTTACTGGGTTCCGTAGGCCTCTCTGGCTTTACCAGATGCTGTCCAAGAGTAGTGATGGCGTCCTGTAAGGCTTGAAGACTCTGGGCCTGCTGGGTTTGGGTCTGGATGAGCTGTGTCAGTGCATTCTCCATGGTTCTCCGTGTCTCTCTCGGAGTACCTATTTTAGCCTGAATCTTTAGCGACAGACCGTCATGCCTGCATCCTCCACCAAAATGTGGTAACCCAGGGGGAGTGAGGCCAGATTCGGGCGTAAAATAAGAAACTCAGACAGCAAATGCAAACAAAAAGGGTCCTTTTAATAACAAAGGTCAAAAACTACGGCTCTTCCAACCGGCTTCCAAACTGAAATATGTGGCGTCTCCTCCTACGTGGCGCCCGCTTCCTTGTCCTGTTAGGAGCAGAGTAGAGTAGAGCGGTGAGTCCTGGGGGTTACCTCCTCTCCGACGTCTGCTCCCGTCCGGTCTCTTCTCCTCTCCTTATCTAGGGTCCGCTCTGATTACCAGATAGGCCGCAGGTGTGACCAGTGCCACGTTCCCAGTGGCTGGAGCACCTGCACAGGATAATAAATCCCCCTTATCACCTCCCCCAACCGGAGCTTGGGGCTCCGCCCCAAGTGCTTTGTTCCTCCCCCTGGTTTGCCACATGGTCTTGTATTAAATCTGTCTTTGTGATTCGGTGGTCAGCACAGAGTTTCCCCTGATGCTGAAAGATGTAAAACCTCAAACTTTAACATAACTACTATCAGATTCATTAATGACCACAAAACAATGGAGGACAGCGGCTGTGACGTCTCTAAAAGCCGGTCTTTATGATTGTAATGGTGACAACCACAGAGGAATAAGCTATACAGAGTCAACGTACTTTCATGTGCATCCTCTGTGTCTTGTGGTTATTTCCAGTCGGTTTGTGACTCTGGCTAACAAGGACGTCAACCAGGCGGGCCGCACCAAACTGGATCGAGAGCGGCTCAAGTCGTGCATGAGGGAGATGGTATGATTTATGTTTCTCGGCTAGAGCAGCGTGAGTGATGGACGAGAAAAGGAAGAACTGATTAATCAATTTGGCCGCTGTTCAGCCTTTAATCGGCGTAAATAGTTTTGAGTTCATGAGTCAAATACATTGTCCCTTCCTGGAATGATGATTTTGTCCTCATTTGCCATATTTGGAATGACGTTTGTATTTGATAGCAAGTACACTTTTGATTTGTGAGAAAATCCCAAAGAATTGTGTTGGATGTTGTGCTATGAATAAGAACAAAAAGATATATTGTTTGACCTCAGTGTGTCTACTTAACACATACTAAGAAAAGAAATGTGTGTTGAAACCACAACATTTTTCTATATTTGATAAGATAATCCCCTCGAGTGTGAACACAGATACACCGCCAGCTCTGATGTGTGCCTTTGTGTACATTATGTCTGTATGTAATCCGCAGGACAGCATGGGCCAGCAGGCCAAGCAGATCCGAACTCAGGTGAAGAAAAACATAGTGAAAGAGAAGCTGAAGCTGGTGCATAACTTCCTGCAGAAGCTCCGTTTCCTAGCAGACGAGGTACTGTACCCGACCCTCACCCGTACCGCAGGTACACAGCTGACACAGAATGAGTACTTACAGCTGTTAACGAAGACGCAATACACAGTACTCACGCTTGTACTCTATTGTCACACAAGTTAAAATGGGGGAAGAATCCGGAATAAGTTTTATTTATCTTGTCTCAGCCTCAGCACAGCATCCCAGATGTTTTCATCTGGATGATGAGCAACAACAAGCGCATCGCCTACGCCCGGGTTCCTTCCAAGGACATCCTCTACTCCATAGTGGATGAGGAAACGGGAAAAGACTGCGGCAAAGTCAAAGCTGTCTTCCTCAAGGTGCAATCCTCGTCTGCCTTAGTCAAACACTGTTAGTGAAACACACATTCCTCATTTTCAACCATCGTAAAATCGATGACCGGGTTTTGAATTCATCAAATGTTTCGACACCGTCTGCATAATGTTTGATGATTAAGTCGCTGTAGTGATACACAAGAAAAAAAACAGCACTGTAATGTGTATTCATTCTGCCCACAGCTGCCTGGTAAAAAGGGGTTTGGTCCTGCAGGCTGGACAGTGCAGTCAAAGCTGGAGTTGTATCTGTGGCTCGGCCTCAACAAACAAAGGAAGGACTTTCTCAGTGGTCTGCCTAACGGTTTTGAAGAGATCAAATCTGCTAAAATGAGCCACGGCCTTCACTCGGTGCCCCCCGTCAGCCTCGTCTACAACAGTAAGCACATGAATATATGAAAAAACGCCCCCATAAACATTTGACTCTGTGGTTCACTTTTCTAATTTCCCAAAAAAATGTTAACTGAGGCTTTTGATTATGTGTAAATGCGGTGTGTCGCGTGTGTGCGCCCTCCAGTGAAGCAGGTGTTTCAGCTCCGAGCACACATGTACCAGGCTCGCAGTCTGTTCGCTGCGGACAACAGCGGCCTGTCGGATCCCTTCGCCCGAGTCTTCTTCTCCACACACAGCCAGGTCACTGAGGTAGGATCACGAACGGAACGATCCATTATTGGTTTCGTGCTAACAGAGTTGACGCTGGCAGTAGTGACTCGGTCCGTGGGGGGGACTTGGACTGCGGAGTTGCCCTTGAGCAAGGCCTTGGACACCACCGAAAGCTGCCCCAACCGAAGGGTTAAAACGCAGGCTTGATTTCACTTTGTGTGACGCGTTGTGTACACGCGTGTCAAGCAAAGCTCATGTGATTTGACGTGTGCGCTGCAGATCCTGAGCGAGACTCTTTGCCCGACGTGGGACCAGCTGCTGGTGTTTGACGATGTGGAGCTTTTCGGAGAGGCCAGCGAGCTGAGGGATGACCCTCCCATCATTGTAGTTGAAATCTTTGACCAGGACACCGTGGTAGGATCTCACTCCATCCGAATGAATAGATGGATCATTTAGTGACCGATTAGCAGAGGTCTCAAAGCTTGTCAAGCATCTTTTAAAGCATTCGCTTTGAGCGAAGGAGACTAAAAGTGCTCTGCTTCTGCTTCCCTCGTGTGCCGACTGTCTGTACACCTCTGCTTCGATCCACCCCGTCCTTCACCCGGTTCCCGGCCTTGCCCGTGCTGTGCTCGCCAGACAGAGTGTGAAAGCATTGCTACTGTGTTGCATGGGATGTTGTAACAGCTACTGGCAACTGTCAGGTTCATCTAGCTGCTGATGAGCTCTGGAACAAACTTGCATGTGTCTCCTCCATTTTTCCCTCGCTCACTTTGTAGCAGCAGTGGCTGCAGGAGCATTAATGCGTGTGCAGCAGCGGCAGCGGTGAGGTCTAGAAAACCTCCCCCACAATACTCGACCACGAAACGTAAATGAGAAAACGCTGACGTAGATGTCTTTTCAAGGAGCACGCCTCTTTTTGAACACTGTAATATTCAGCCATTGATTTTGGTCGGGTTATATAAGACATTGTTTTTGCCGCAAGCTTTCCCTCTCAAATTCTCAGTTTTTTTAAAACCCTCCACCCCTTTGACCAGTACTGACACCAAGTGGCTGCCATGCAAACTACACCTTCCTCACCCTTTTTAACATCCCTTCCCTTGCCCCCCTGACTGTCTTGGCTGCCTGCTGTCACAATGGTGTCTCCAGGGCAAGGCAGAGTTCATAGGTCGCACGTTTGCGAAGCCCACCATCAAGATGTGCGACGAGCACTACGGCCCCCCGAGGTTCCCACCACAGCTGGAGTACTACCAGATCTACAGAGGGAACCACGCTGCCGGGGAACTGCTGGCTGCATTTGAGCTTCTGCAGGTGACTAAAAGACACACACACATGAGTGAATGCTTCCACACGTGCAAGCGCGCACACACCCACACTGACACACAAGTCCCACCGTCCTATTAAAGATGAATTCATCTGGGAAAATGAAGATGAAACATTGGAGTTTTGAAGTTTAATTTGTCGACTCTTCACATTCTTCCTTTAAATATTTTCATCTAAATAAAATTCTTCTGCCGCCTATGTCACGTCTCTCCTCCTTATACTAACATTTTCCTTTTTTCTCCTTTGACATATCCATTTGCCTCTTTCTTCCTTGCTGTTCCTCCTCCTGCCGCCTACAGATACCTTTTGATGCTGAGGCGATTAGACGAGCTCTAATCGCTGTGCATAACTTTGCTGTTCCTCAAATAAAGGTGCTCTTTTCTTGCATTCCCTCCTTTCGTCCCACTTTCTCTTTTAACAATAAGAAAAGACACAATTAATACAAATGTTAGGACTGTAGTGAAGAAAACTGGTATGGGTCTCAAGCTGTATCACTACACAGACGTCACAGAAGCATTCCATCCTTTGACTGTGAGTTGTACCTCTGCTCTCTTCGCCTTCATTAGATCGGTCAAGGAGGGAGGGACGACCTCCCCCCACTCGAAGGGCCGACGGACTCCGAGCGCGGACCCATTCTGCCTGTGCCGCTGGGCATCCGACCGATCCTGAGTCGCTACCGCATAGAGGCAAGATTTGAACTGAACCAGATTATCTCTTTTTCGAGTTCTCCCTCATCCTAATGCTTTGCTTTCCTCCCTGTCAGGTTTTGTTCTGGGGCTTGAGGGACTTGAAGAGGATCAACCTGGCTCAGGTGGATCGTCCTCGTGTGGACATAGAGTGTGCAGGTCGAGGTGTGCAGTCTGTCCTCATCCAGAACTACAAGAAAAACCCCAACTTCAGCACCTTGGTTAAATGGTTTGAAGTGGTAAGTCAAGTCCGCTTGCCTCCGCTTAACTGCAACACACGTTGTGACCTACTGCAGGAATGATACCACCTCAACAGCTTACCGTCTTCATCGTGTTCCTTCAGGACCTTCCGGAGAACGAGCTTCTCCACCCTCCTCTCAACATCCGGGTGGTGGACTGCCGGGCATTTGGCCGTTATATCCTGGTTGGGTCCCACGCTGTAAGCAGCCTGAGACGTTTCATCTACACCACCCCGGACAAGGCCTCCAACAACTGGGCCACTGCAGGTGTGCTTTACATATTTACATATATATAAACAGCAGTAGTGAATGAATTAGAAACATGTAGAATATGTATAATATAACTTTGTTCACTTCTTTGACATTTCTGGGTTTCCCTGAAATAAAATACCTGCTGGTCCTATTTTTAGACTTTGCATTAACCTTTTTGTAAGGTCGGTTGGACAGGGGGCCTTTAACATTTAGATGACAGCACTATATTCTACATCAAGAAGAGGTTCAAACAATCTTTTAAGAATTCAATTGAAGTGTTTCTGATCCTGCTCTGCGGTCACTAAAGAATGAATGTTCATTCTTTATTAACTGTGCTGATGTCTCCTCTTGCTTTCTGGCCTGACCACTTCTCTTTCCTGTCTTCCCTCCGTCCGCGGCGTTTCCTCCTTCTCTCGCACGTCCTCCACTGTCCTGTCCTCCTGCCTGCTGGCGTCTTTGCCCTTGGGCCTCGCTCCAGCTAAGCTAATGAATGGCTACATGGTCCTTACCAACGGCGGCTCCCAGCCTCGCTCCTCACCCAGCCTTTCCTCCCGCACCTTCTCTCGCCCCGCAGGTGACATCCTGGTCAACGTGGACGCCGAGCATCTGGTCCGAAAGATGGACACGGTGGTCAAGTTGGACGCCGTAAGAATTTCCTTTGAGTTCGCTTGCCTTCTAATTTCTATTGTACGACGTGCGCATATGTGTCAATTAGAGCACTGCTTGTGTCCAGTCCTCTTTACCTGCCTAGTGTGTGCTGGTCCTACCTGCATCATCCGTTGTGTGTATTAACCCTTGTGTTGTTTTATGTGTAACGCCTCCTATCGTAGACGTCTGACGCCGTTGTAAAAGTTGACATGGTAAGTGATCGTTCCCGTGGGAATTTGGCGATGAAAATACGTGATGGAGTTAACGTGCGCCTCCATTTGCATTCAAACGGAGCCGCCGGCGGTCGCTTAATGTCTCTGGACCGTTCCAATAGACCGAGGAGGAGAGCGACAGAGACAAGAAGCAGAAGAAGAAGAAGAAGAAGAAGGGAGGAGTAGAAGAGGAAGAGGAGACGGATGAGAGGATGCTTGACTGGTGGTCCAAATATTTTGCTTCAATCGAGACACTGAAGGAGGTTTGACTATTTCATTCTCGTGTATTTTATTCACGTCTACACGCGTTTGTTTACGGCCCTCGCAAAGTGAAGTCCTGTTAGACTGACAGCCTTTCTTTACCCGGTTTTCTAGACCCTGAGAGCCCAGGACGCCGCTCAGGCGGAGGCGGAGGAGCGAGAGGACCTGGAGATAGCAGCGGAGGCAGCAGGTATCGAACCCAAATCAGCTCGGCTGCCGGCCAGCGTGACCAAAGGCCCCGAGGCTTTAATCACTTTTGAGGGAATGTGTCACAGATATTGAGTTTTGAGTTGGGGATTCTACATTAACTTTTTGAAGAATGATTTTCAGTTGTTTATTCATTTTGAGTTGATGAGCCTCGAGATGAAGGGCGTACGGTTCTGTATGTGATCTGTACACAGAGGCATTATTCTGTGCTTCCTGCTGCAGTGGATTCACCCTTCGTCATTGCTTTGGACTTATCATCATTACCGTATTCATGATCTTCATCAGCATGACCTCCCGTCTGTGCAGCACACATGAAAGCCGGCTCATACACACCGGCTGAATTGAGCGACATTTCCACTAACATACATCATCTGAAAGACTCCAATCCTTGCAGAATATTCTTTATCTTTCTTCTCACAGATTGTTTCATCCTGAGAATCTCACAATGTTGTTTCACTTTAGTCCATTTATTATTTATTGATGCATTATTTTTTTTGCATTACATGGCTATTTCGCCCCGATGTGTAACACTACGCTGAGCGACAGCGCTTTGACGAACTCGCCGTAGCTTTACTGCTGGGTTAGGTTTGTCATAAGTGTCCTTATACTGGATAAACATGTCGGTTCAGCTTTCATGTTGGGAAACATGACTTCAAACCTACTCCGTCCACTTTCCCCCACCTCTCCAACCAGATATCACACACGACGACCTTCTTCTGAAAGGCTCCAGGGCGAAGGAAAGGAGCAAAGAGAAGAAAAGCTCCAAGGACAAGAAGAAGGCTGCGGACGGCTCCGACAGACGGCCGGTTAAAGCGAAAGTCGACGAGCTCGTGGTGAGTGTGTCATTCACACACTCCTATCGGACATCCAGGGACGGACACTCGACGTGTTCGTTTACCTTTGCAGGTGTACGACAAGGAGCTGGAAAGTGAGTACGGGAACTTTGAGGACTGGCTTCACACTTTCAACTTGTACAGAGGAAAAGCCGGGGATGACGACGAACAAGCTCTGGACGACGACAGGATTGTTGGCAGATTCAAGGTGTGAAAAAAACAAACAAGTATGTCATGGCCCACACTTACTGACCAATGATCATACACTTGTCTTTTACCCCGTTCATTTATATTCTGCCCCAGGGATCCCTATGTATGTACAAGCTACCCGTGTCTGAGGAAATCACAAGAGAGGCCGGATTCGATCCTAACATGGGAATGTTCCAGAGCATCCCGCATAACGATCCCATCAACGTCCTCGTCCGTGTCTATGTGGTCAGGGTGAGTGACGTCCGTATCACTTAACTAAAAAACATCCCAATAAACTGGAAACTGACAAATGTTTCTCGGATTCTGTCCGTTGGTCCGTTTTCCTCCAGGCAACGGATCTTCATCCTGCTGATATCAATGGGAAGGCCGATCCGTATGTTGTCATCAAGCTGGGCAAGTCGGAGGTCAAGGACAAAGAGAACTACATCTCCAAACAGCTCAATCCCGTGTTTGGCAAGTAGGTTGATAGTTTGGCCGCCACGGCATGTTGCTCTTCTACCATTTGCTTCTCATCTGTTCATCCTCTGCTTCTCTGTGCCAAGATCGTTTGACATTGAGGCCACGTTCCCCATGGAGTCCATGCTAACGGTGTCCGTGTACGACTGGGACCTGGTCGGCACTGACGACTTGATCGGAGAGACAAAGATCGACTTGGAGAATCGTTTTTACAGCAAATACCGAGCGACCTGTGGCATTTCATCCAACTATTCTGTGTGAGCATCCTTGTCTTTCATCTTTGATATCTTTTTAGTTGTTGTTTTAGTTACAGTGCCTCCATATGAAACAATAGTAATACCTTCTGAAGTTCTCCATTATCTGTTCATGTCAGCCATGGATACAATGTTTGGCGCGACCCATTGAAGCCCAGTCAGATTTTGGCGAAGCTCTGCAAGGACGGCAAGATCGATGGACCTCATTACGGGCCCGGAGGCAGAGTTAAAGTGGCCAATCGAATATTCCAGGGACCTACAGAGATTGAGGATGAAAACGGTATGGCTGCATGTTGCTCCTAGAACTGTGACACCACTATCCAAACGATGTTGATTCATAAGAAGAACATTTGCTGTAATATGTGGGGGGTGGTTAGCAAAGGAATTGTTCCCTTTGATTTTTCTTTGTCTTCAATAAATAGCTCTCTTGATTTCAATGCTATAATCAGAACAGAGAAGAAAGAGTTCAAATGCACACGCACATATGACATTTGGTTTTCTATTGAGGATATTTCAACCCGAACAACGAGGTTGCTAACATACAATCACCTTGGTTTACGTTAACACGAGGATGCAAATGTCCGGATTGTCCGACATAAGCAGTTTGCATTGTGTTTGTGTGGATGTTCCAGGTCTGAAGAAGCAGACGGAGGAGCACTTGGCGCTGACGGTGCTGACCCACTGGGAGGAGATCCCCAGGGTGGGCTGTAAGCTCGTCCCCGAACACGTGGAGACCAGACCCCTGCTCAACCCGGACAAACCCGGCATCGAACAGGTAGGAGGGAGCCGCGCTCGTCCGCGGTGACGAGGGAGGTTGAAATCGCGGCCGGACTGCATTTTGGTTCTCTGTGTGCGTTCAAAGGGCCGCATTGAGATGTGGGTGGACATGTTTCCCATGGACATGCCGGCTCCTGGACCTGCGATTGACACGGCACCGCGGAAACCAAAGAGGTACGGCCCCCGAGACAGACCTCACTGTGAATAACTCTTCACCCGATGCAGATTCGATGGGAAAGATATTTGCTAATTTCCATTTTCTGAAGCGAGTCTGAAGTTCAGTTTTTCCAACAGAATGCGTAGTTTTATCCCCAGCTTAAGTAACGGTGAGTGTGTTTGACTAGTTAGCTCTCCATTTATTGTCAAATACAAGTCCAACTGTGTGTTCCTTCCTCCCCCCCTTACCAGATATGAGCTCAGGGTGATTATTTGGAATACAGACGAAGTAATACTGGAGGACGATGATTACTTCACTGGGGAAAAGTCCAGTGACATATTTGTCAGGGGGTAGGTACAGTGGGATGCGGCGCCCAACTGCCTCGTCCCGTGGGTGTGAGCCGTGTGTGGGTTTTCTTTTCTTTTTTTTTTGCAGTTAACCATTATTCTTTTGTTTTGTTTCCATTTTTTGTGTGTGCGTTTTTTGTGTTGTTTGTGTTTGTGGTGTGTCTCCTGTCTGTCGTCCTCTCTCTCTCTCTCTCCTCTGGTCGATGCTCTGACGCTGTCTAGCTTTGAGCTTCGTGTTGTTATTTGGAACACTGATGACGTAATTCTAGAGGACGATGCTTTCATGACAGGAGAGAAGATGTCTGACATCTATGTCAGGGGGTAAACACACGATTCCATAGCATGGCTCGTACTACTACCTCCCTCCCTTCCTCCTGGAGCCATTTCTTTCTTTCCCTTTGTCACTTCCTGTCTCAAATCTCCATCCAGCACGTAACCTTGCTTGTTTTGAACTCTCCACAAAGCCAGGATCAAACCACATGAACAACTTGTTGAGTGCCATCGTTGTCATATCGTCGTATGTATGCCAGCAATTCACAGGTATACTGGGATTCAATTAAATTTATATGTAAAGTAATTCAAGTCTGAACATCTACATTATCATGCCTTCATTTTAACTACTTGCTACTAATTTATTTATCAAATAATTTATTCTGTTAACCCATTATTTTGTTTAAGAAGGCTACTACATTTTGTTAAAATATGATTTTCATATTCTGTGAAACTACTATTTTCTTTTTATTTTACCAAACTAAATTTGTTTTTCTCCACCTGGTATTTCAAAACGCAAGTTTGTTAAATGTTTGTGGTTTGGTCCTGTATTGTAGGTTTTAATTTAAATGACCATGTAGGTTATCAAGATAATTTTGAAAGGTGTTTGGAGCTTCTTGCATGTATATGAGCAAAGAATACGCATGGTAGAACTACAGAGCTCCAATGGGTTTGATAACATTGTCATTTTGCAGACTGGTCGCAGTAGATATTTTGATTTGATTTTGTTTTAAAGAGACCCTACATTACGTTCAATGGATTTGAATCATATTGAAAATCATAAAATAATTTGAATAGCAAATTTATGCCTTACTTTATTTATCACATGAACCTCCATTAAAGTTAAAAAAGTAAGATGCAGCAGACGTTGACAGGCTTACAGTATAATGTGACAATGGGGGAACTAATAGCATTAAAATATATAAATGTCTCATTTCATTAACTGTCCAAGTAAGTGATCGCAGTACATGACAATAATCTGGATAATAATAATCAGGAACGGACACCTAAATGCAACGCAGCCATTATACACAACCTCATTGCAATTATAGTTTTCTTGTCAATTCTTGCGTAATGTCTAAAATGAAAAAAGACATTAAATATTTTACTCCTGTTTAAAGTCATAAATGTCCGTATTTGATGGAGCTTCCTCCCTTCTGCATCTATGCATCAAATGCATTTTTCTTCCGTCAGCTGATTCTGTGTCACCCATAGACGTGTCACCTCATGACGGCACTGCAACAAACTGGATGACATCCTCAATCAACCCACAGTAAACAGAGGATGAATAGAGAATATTAGAGATCAATGTTTTCATGCAGCGCAGTAGAGTTTGATGCTGACCAAAACGGTTTGCATTAACCGTAACTATCCGGATGGATCCAACGCTGCGATACAGTGAGACCGAGCAAGTTTCAGTGACCTTGTGTGATTTGTAGTCAAGCAACAACCCAACATGCTCTCACCTCGATGACCCCAGTCTAGTTCATGCCAGTGCATCTCCATCACCAAAAGATAGCACTTATCACTATTCACGTATGAAGTCAGTCTCACTCCAGAGAGCTCAGACCGTCTGCATCCAGGCACTAAAGATGAAAGTGTTGGCTTGGTTTTGGCTTAGAGTGTGCATGGCTTTGATAATAGTGTGAAGCTCCAACATCAAATCAGGTTTTATCGTTCAACAACTTTTTATCATTATTGCACACACACATTAATCTGATTTGCTTTTGGGGAGCCACATTATGTGTTTTTGATTATGACAAATTGGCATCATCTCTCTTGTTGGCACACTGGCACATTTAACCTGTCCTATGCTCTCGTTTAAATCAACAAAAATGAATATTCAGTTACCGACAGAAAAATGCAATTTTCTTCCTAATATAAATTAGAAGTGCATGACTGACTAAATCAATCCACTCATCCACAATCTGGCCACTCATCCCAAGCATAATCCAACCTAACTCTGATCTGTGCTACTTCCTGCAGATGGCTAAAGGGACAGCAGGAGGACAGGCAGGACACAGATGTGCACTATCACTCCCTCACCGGCGAGGGCAACTTCAACTGGCGCTTCGTCTTCCCCTTCGATTACCTCATGGCTGAGGAGAAGATCGTCATCTCCAAGAAGGAGTCTATGTTCTCCTGGGATGAGACCGAATACAAGATCCCTCCTCGTCTCACGCTGCAGGTCTGGGACGCCGACCACTTCTCTGCTGACGACTTCCTCGGTGAGGCCTGAAGGGAACGTTTAAAAAAAAAACATCCGTCTGATTTTTCCAAAGATGCTTTGGCATCATCGTATTCTGTATTTGACTCGCAGGTGCGATTGAGCTGGACCTGAACAGGTTCCCTCGTGGGGCCAAGACGGCCAAGCAGTGCTCCCTCGCCATGATCCGGAACGAGCAGGAGCTACCCACCATCTCCATCTTCAAACAAAAGAGGGTCAAGGGCTGGTGGCCGTTCGTAGCCCGCGACGAGAACGATGAGATGGAGCTCACGGTTAGTCAGTCGTTTTCCACAGATTTGAATGCGGTGTCTCATCTATAGAGACAGAATCGATAGCTGCGTAGATCTGGAGCAGGGATAATGCTACAGGCGCGTAGCCAGCTGATTCGCTTTGACGCGTCACACGTGTCACGCTGTCATTACAGGGTAAGGTTGAAGCTGAGCTCCACCTGGTGACGGCAGAGGAGGCGGAGAAAAGTCCTGTAGGTCTTGGACGAAATGAGCCGGATCCACTGGAGAAACCAAAGTAAGATGTTGACGTTTATTCAGAGTACATGTATGTATTAAACTCTCAGAGACACACACACACACACACACCTTTTTCAATAATAACATTTGAGGATGGTTGCGTGGTGCTCTCCCTTAAACCTCCCCCGCCCCCGGGACAAAGCCGTCATCACAGTGCAAAAATCATTGAATCAACTACAACAAATTGCTATAAATCAGGACTTAATATTTGATAAAAGTTGGATTTGGCCTTTTTGCACTGTCAAAAGGCAACTGTTACACATTCACACTCGTTTCTCCTCCAACCATCTCTTCAACTGTCTTCCTCTGTCCCTCCCCTCCTTCCCCCGCGTGCGACTCCCCCCTCTCTCCTCACCGTTTCTCCCTGTTTTTGCCTCCATCTCCATTCCTTCCTTCTTCTCTACCTCCTTCCGCAAAGTCGCCCGGACACCAGTCTCATGTGGTTTCTGGGCCCCCTGAAGTCCATTCGTTACTTCATCTGGCACAACTACCGCTGGCAGATCCTCAAGGTCCTGGCGCTGATACTGCTGCTGCTCATGCTGGGCGTCTTCCTCTACTCACTCCCTGGCTATCTGGTCAAGAAGATGCTGGGGGCCTGACGCGCCGGTAGCCTCCGCCCCCCCCCCCTCCCCCCCCTCGCTGTCTCCGTTTGCTCTAGTTAGCTCCTTTGCACCCTGGATGTTCCTGTCGTTGCTCCTCCTGTGTTGTAGCTCTTTTTTGGCTTTCTCTTGTTTGCTCCTGCGTTGTCCAAGTAAATAGGATAGTCTCTCTTTTTTGTTGTAAATTGTCTCAACTATTCTCATGTCCAAGCAACACGCTGGGTGTTCTTTTGGGGGCATTTGAGAGCCGGCAGCCACCAAATGCCTCGTCCACACATTTATCATACAGGATGGATGGTCTGATTAAAAATGAGTAAAACTATGTATTAAAAACATAACATAACAACTGAGTTTAATCACAAAATGACTTAAACTGACAAGACACAGTCAGGTTTCTTTGTTTTCTGTCTGGACATTTATGTCTGTCTCTCTAAATCATGTCCAGATCCAGAACACAACAGATCCTCATTTGCTAGATATTATACAAATATTTTTAGTTTTAGTTAACATAACAAAAGTATATATTATTGTGTTATGTTCTGAATGAATTGGAAGAAATCATACGTTTAAGGACAACGGCAGCTAAAAAACAGAGAATTATTATATGTGAATATGAACAACTATGTTTCTAGTGTCCTGTCATAAATTCTTGAATATGAACCAAATCAGAAGTTGGTTGACACTAAGATACAATTCTACTATTGTACTGGAAATTGTCCAACCCCTCAAAGGTACCAGTGGCTGTCTGGTTTAAAAACAAAAGTTACTGTTGATGACATTTTATCAACACATTCCTAGCATGCTGTTGCAAAACACAACTCCAACTTGTCTCGCTGACCACTAATGCCAAGTCTCTCTCTCTCTCCATGTTTCCTCCCGTTTCTCCACCCCCCGCCTCCAGTCGCCCGGACACTACCTTCCTGTGGTTCCTGAGCCCACTGAAAGCTATCCGCTACCTGGTGTGCAACCGCTACAAGTGGCTGATCATCAAGGTGGTGCTGGCGCTGCTGCTGCTCATCATGCTGGGCCTCTTCCTCTACAGCATGCCGGGCTACCTGGTCAAGAAGCTGCTCGGGGCCTGAGGGGCCGCGGGGAGGACGGGGGGGGGGGTGGCCAGCCAGATGCAAAGGAGGAGCGTGTAGGCACAAAGCAGGAGGACGGAGGAGTCTCACCCACAGGAAGGGAGGCACAGGGAGGAGAAAGCGCGTTGGGAGTACCATTATTTTCTCCTCTCCAATCCGACTCATCGTCACAAACAGCTGGCCACACCTCCACCTTTGCCCCGTGGAGAGAGGCCGAGACCACCTAAAGTTACTTTTTGCTCCATGTCCTGAGAACCACTAGCTGTGTAATCCTGTATCCGACCTGCGGCGAGCCCAACAAAGCCAACGCTCAGGATCGGGACCACGTCCCTCAGCTAACAAAAACCAGCAATCGTTATTCCACAAGGCGTCGTAACCCCTGACATATGACAATGAATGTGTCTTTGTCTGTTTGTTCAACTTGGAACTCCTTCATTAAGTTAAATCACATCGCATGGACATTTATTTCAGGTGATGCTCTTGAATTCCATTATGTCTGCTGTTGTTTTAAGTTATTAGGCACCACATTAACATTAATTAACGCTCTACTCTAAACCCTCTTTTTAGCATTTATGAGCAGTATATTACATTTGACATATTATGAGAAGGAATAAAGGACATTAAAGGGTTTATTAATGTACAGTTATTATATAACAATTATACTTTCTCCTTTCAAGACATTTTATATTATTACATCTATATTTTACTACATCATTTATGTGTTTATACAACATTCTCCTATTGGGTGGCCACATGGGGAGGTATAATTGTTGACATACATGAATACATGAATAAACACTGATAATGCATCTTTCTGTTCATAAATGCTCAGTAAGGGGATTAAAGTTAAGTGTTATACCGTATTAAGCTCTTGCAGTTTTTGCACACTTTACTAATAATGTAGAAACTACATTATTAATGACTATTTTCCTAATCAAGTCTAATAAGACACCAGATGACTCCAAAATTGATTCGAGTTAGGTTCAACATCAATGTTACAATGTTTAATTTTTTGGATCAAAGCAACCAAGCCATATATGATTCAAATAAAATAGAAATAAGATACATTGTTTGTGAATTGCATTTGAATAACTAGTTGAAAAAACTGGTTTGGATTTCTACCAAAATGTGAATCTGTATTGTCAAAATGCATGCGTCTTAGTATCGATTGACCACAAGGGTCATGTGTGTGAGCATGACTGTCTCTCCGAATCACCAACCTTCATATCTTTAACTTTGCAGATGGTGTAGAGATGATTCCATTGGGATAAGTGGGGAATGGGGTCCGGGCTTGATTCTCTAAACTCTGGCTCCATGTTTGCCGTGTCTGTTCCTCCCCCTCAGATTTGCCTGCTCCTGACCTCCTTTGTGTTGAAGTCCTTGTTTGTTATTCTGTCTTCACGGATCACAGACTTATTGATTGCACTAAACTTGCCTGTTTTTACAATTGGTGTTTATATATCTGGTGTGCAATATTTATTTTTTGTTTCTTGGCAATTTAAAATAAACTTAATTCCATGGACAAGATTGAGATTAGTATATTTTTGGTAATATATGTCAGAACATTTTATTGTATACAAATAACATAAAAAGACATGAAAAAATGTTGTAGTATATTCTAAAAATCTAACAACATATGGTTCAACATTCAACAAAATGTATTGTATGTCAGCAAAAGTTTCTTAGAAGTAGTATAAATGTCACCAAATATAAGTGCAGAGTATGACATGGAAAAGACATTTCATAGTTTTTCATGTAAATGGCAGAGAATAGGAAGTTGTTAAGAAGTCATTGTAACGTGTGTCCTCATTAATGTCAGGAAATAATTTAACAAATGTTGCATTTATTGTCGATGGAGTTGTTCCACCTGTTTGTTTTATTATGCACTATTGCAAATATACAGCAACATATAGATACTAGTTTTCACGTACAGTATTAGCAATGCAGTGAACCAGAGTCTGAGATCATTGACACGTCATAAGTGGCTTGATGCTGTCATCTAGTGGCAGCATCAAGCGTTCATCAGCATCTTCAAACTTCTCCACTGTAAACCAAAGCAGGTTTCTGGTGAGCGTCACCACACATATATCCTCTGTTGTATCCAAACATACATACAAACATCCAGTTTGGACACGTATTATATTGGCAAGGAGCTATGTGAGCATAGAATCAAAAGGCTCATGGTATTTTTACAGGTGAGGTGTGTATTCACAGAAAGCTTTACTTACAGCTGGTTGGAAAAGTGTTTTGTCAGCATCAAACATACACAGCTCATATTCGGCTGAATCCGAACACCATTCCTTTCAAATAAGCTCTCATTTTTTTGATCAGTATGACCACTAAACAAAAATACCAGTAACTGTAAAATAAAACCTATGCAAAATATTTAAAATATTTAGTGTCTGAAAAATGATGATAACATCTACACAACAACAAAAGCAATCCAAAACATGGTATATAACTGGTAAATACATTTAAATTCAAATGATTAATCACCTTAATATTGATTGAAGGTTTTGGCATCATTAAATACCAAATACCACTGAACGGCTTCAATGTTCACTCAAACATTCTTGATTTTGATCAAAGGGAAAAGGTGAAATGTTTCTGAGCCGTATACCTTCAACGTTATCCTCCCGGCTGACTGCAGATGGCGCTACGGGCCTTGTGATCATAATGCTACTGCACAACCTAAAAGACCTAGAAACGTTTCATTTTAGACAAGATGCATATTTCAAACACATGCAAATGAAGGAGCCTCACGTCTGCTTCACGTGCAATGTTCAAAACCAAATCCAGTCACTTGCCCGCTTAAAATTCAGACTTTATAATTCATCCACACACTCCAACACAAACGGTGTCTTCTCAAGCTGATGGCAAGATGGGCCCACTGGATGCTGAGACAAACAAATCCTGACACGGGTCACATGTTCCTGCCCTCAGGAGTGCCCCCCTACCATCTCCGCCTCTTGGCAGCTATCATGCCCCTCGACCCCCCCCCCCCCCCCCATCCTCCCCCTCCGGGGCACCTCGCCGCTCTTTTGGCCTCAAGTGGCCTCAGTTGCTACTGAGCCACGAGGGATGTAAGTCAGCCAGCAAAGGTTTTTGACATATGATCCAGCATCTGTGATGTCACCAACAGCTGACTTGTCATAAGACCTTTGTGAAAGGGAGAGAGGGGGGTGCGTGAGGGGGGGGGGTAAGGGATGAATGAGGAGAAGGCCTTATTTTCAACAGACCCTTAGCTGGAACGCTGAGTGCTTTCGCATCAAGCTCCAGAGATTACAAACTGAATGACTGCCATTAAAGAGTGATTCTGTAATCTATTATAATACCGTAAGCTAGGGATTGACAGACTTTGACCCCCACTCCCAGGTGTATAATAAGCCCCATTCACTCTGCATATGCTCGGGGAGAGAGGGTGCATGAGTGTGTGTGTGTGTGTGTGTGTGTGTCTGCTAATTCCAACTGCCCGGGGGCAAATGTTTACTCCTTCTTCAACAAAGCATCATATTCATTGCTCAGGGGTTGAGAGGTGCAAAATCCAAGCCTGACCTTCAGCCAGTTAACTAACTGACAGCTTAGAGGAGGGGGTTGCATAACAGCTAAAGTCCTGACTAACTGTTTCTTAATATTGCGATAACGCAGGAGACGTCGGCGGCGCCGTAAAGCGCGGTGCACCGGACGGAATGCCGGAGAGTGGAGGACGGCAGCCGAGGAGAGCAAAGAATCCAAAGGCCTTGTCAGAGAACAAATCGCTCATTTAAGCAAGAATTATTTTTAATAAACAACAAGAGAAGGCCAGAATCAGGAACAACATGACGCGTGTGTCCCCCCCCCCACGCTATAAGTATAAAACGGACCGGCCTCGTATCAAGGTGACTCGTGCAAAGGGAAGCATGTTTTGCCATCAGCAGGATCAGCAAACAAGGCATGCAGCTTCTCCCCAACGTACTTCTGCATGTTCAGATGCTCAACTTAAACCTTTAGGTATAGAGTGAGTTGTAGTAAATACAATTATATCGAGGTGTGTGCAGTGGAGCCCACTCACCGTCCCCTCAGAGTCCTTTATTCCTCATCAGACATGGTCTGAGGAAAGTTTTGGGTGGCTTTCATTATTCTGTATGACATATTTTGATGTAAAGTTGAGATAGGCCTCAGCTGACAGCACTACGTTTACCCAGGTAGTGAGTTCTTTAAGATGCTGCTTCATTTCAGTTTGGAGGGAAAATTAGTCGGTGATTAAATACGTGTGTTTTTTTGTAAAAATCCCAGTGAATGTACAAATGTTTCTATCTTTTAAATCCTCGCTGCCTCACCAGACGCAACATGGCCCCCACTTTTCAGTTCCCACAGCACGCTTCTGTTGGTTGCATATTGATCCCCGATTGTCTATCAACAAGCACTCTGTGTCAAATTCTACACATCAATACGCGGGGAGAACTTAAAGAAAAAAAGAGTGGAGCGGGGTTAAAGATTGGTTTCAACTAGCTTATTAAAGTCTGCTTATATGCACAAGTATCTATAACCTAATAATAATGATACAGCGTAGGATCCAGTGCAATGCACACCGACTTTAACCCGTATGAATACTTCCCCTTACAAGGAGCCTAAGAAGGCTACAGCTTTCTGCCCCATATGTGCACATTTCATTGTACCGGATAGTTTGGTGTATGAAGTTGTTCCCCATTGACTGACCGCATCTTTTCCCATATCTTTCTGTGAGTCACGTGACGGCCTCGGGTCCCTTTTAATGACTTTAGCCCCCCCCCCTAAGGACCCGTCGTGGTGCAGAAAACGGGAATCAAAGCTGTCATCCTCGAGGCTCGCGGGGCCGCGCCCCACACGAGCCGACCAACACACACTTTCAACGGGGCGCATCGGGAGCGCGCACACGACAAAAAGCGCGTGTCCTCGGCCGCTCGGCTGCCCCGGCAACCGGATCACATGACTCGGCATTTTCCGTAAGGCTCTTAAAAAGCTGCTGCTCCACAAGACCAAAAAGCCAAAAGGAGTTTAACGGATGTGTTGCTGCGATTATTTGGCCAAGTATCTTTATCCCGCATCTAGATTAGCTGCTAATGACGGAGGGGGAAAACCTCGGTGCAACAACGTAACACAAAAAACACACACACACACACGCCATGTAACCTGAGAACAAGGGCCGGTACTGTGCGAAGAAGCCGATTTCACCTCAACACATGGGCCCTTTAGGCTACACATGCAACAGTAAAGGTATTTGTTCAAGAGTAGGGGAGTTATGGGAAATAAACAAAGTATCAAAGTATGAAAAGCAGAAGTGCTAATTGTGCAGATCGGTTAATCGATTAATATGAAAATAAAAAGGATTGAAGTTCACATTGTTTCAAATGTATAGAAGGTTGCGGGTTATTTGTACTGAATGTTGATAAAATTCTATTTTTATGTTCATTGATAATTATAATTTTTACAAATGTTGATCTGAAATGTAACTAAGTTGTCCTATGCAATGGTAGTAAAGTCCAACATTTGCACATTCAATGTTAGATAAATGTTAAAATAGAAATACCAATATTTTACCTAATCAAGTCTTTTCACCACTAATTCATTTGCAGAAAGGAGTTGACGTGGTTAAGTTACAGCACATGCAAGTTTATTCTGGCGTAAAAGTATTTATTTAGGCTTATGCATTCAAAATGAATGTTTACATTACTACACAGCAAAAGCATTTTTAATAGGAGAATTCAATTCAACACTCAGGAGACATAAATTAGACTTTGCTCTCATGAGCAGTCAGAAGCCTCTTAACAAATTAAGTTAAACATCTGTGGAAAACGACAACAAAGCACATTAAAAGCTTCAGGCAGCCATAAAAAAATAAACTGACTGGAAAACAGGTAACATCCCAGTGTGGTACTCTGGAGTGTGCTTACATTATGTGTGTAATGTCTTTATCCCCCTGCCCCACTGATGTGCACCCCCACTCTTCTTACAGCAGATCCATGTCACCACTAATGGACATCAAGTGCTTCCTTTTCTGCAGCTCTCTTCTGGACATACATTAGAGACAGAAAACCCATTTTTTCAACCCATAAGTAGAGCTCACACACGCACGCACAAGCCACTCACTTTTTGTGGTGATACCTGTGTGTGTGTGTGTGTGTGTGTGTGTGTGCGTGCACCAGGCTACGGGATGCACTGAAAAACGTGAAGATTGTTAACGAGTTGAAAGGAAGGAGAGGACGGTGCATCTGTGCAGCAACATGAAGAATAATCTGATTAGTTATATTATTAGCCCCCTAAAAAATAAAATCACAAATGAAAGCTCATCACAAATAATGGCGGTAAGTGTCATTAATTTCTTCTGCTGGGTTTTAAAGATATTTTGTATGCAGGCCTGACATTTTATTACATGTTGTGAAGAGTTTTTTGAGAAAGTGAAAGCACATGTATGCACAAAAAAAAAAGTGTCCAAAGCCTTTAATCCTCATATCGTGCTTCTTGAAGTCCTCCGAACAAAAACAAGATGCTGTTGTTGAGTCTGCTACGTTCAAACATCCGGCACAAGATGATGAGGAGTCCAATCTTCTCCCGTGGTGTAACTTCTAATGCAAGCGTTGTCCTTCAGTTTAGTCTTTATCACCGGTCTCCTCTTCAGCTCAGTTTGCTCTGAATGTTCACCAGACTGGCGTATGACTTTGCCCTTTTGGCTGGAAAATGAGAATTTATAAAAATACAATTAAATTACATTTGTTAAAGTTAAACTGTAAGATATTTGTCAAATAGTTTTTTATATGCGTGTTGATAGGAGTTTGGTTAAAGACAAATAAATGATCACTCTTCAGGGAAATAATAAAGTTAATAGGAATCTTGAAGGGCTGCAAATAAATCAATGGTCCTGGTGCAAGAACATTGTGTCTTCTTGCAGAGTTATTGCCCCGTAATTATAAAATCAAGCTTCCTGTTCCGCTCCATTTGTGGGAAAATTTCCTTCACAATGTCATAATTAGCATACCAGGTAGTTGTCGGGGGAGAAGTTCTGGCCAAAAATGTGCAAGTTTGTGCTGAATATGAAGAAATTCCCTGAAAGGTGGTCATGAAATTTCACATTCACAGGAGTTGAGCGGACATGAGGTCACAGTGACTGTAACCGCTGACATCGAAAACGTAATCAACTGCTCCTTGAGTCCAGGTGGACGTTTGGGTCAATTTAGAGGACAATGCATCCGGCGTTCTTGAGGTGTTTCATTCAAAAAGGAATAAACCGCAGGCGTACAACTGAACAGATAAAGCCTCTGGTCATAGACAAGGCATAAACATTCCCCCCCGAAGAGAAAAAGTATTTTTGTGTAAAAAAATACACAACATGTTTAAGGACGTCATCATTTATATCGTCTGAACTGAAGTTACAAGATAAAGAAAAGGAAGCAGTTGCAGGAATACAAAAGTCATGGAGATGTTGGAAAGGGGGTCCACACAGTATGTTACACCGTGTTCCCAACAATATTTAGATTGGTTTGCAGAGACAAACGGAGGTTATAATTAATGATGTTTTAAGTTGGTTTGACCCATTTATCTCTATTTCACCTTTTCCTGAAACCCTTTGAAACTCCAAATTCCAAAAGTAAAATTCTCAAGTTAATCAAATGAGCAGCAAGCAGACTATCTGTACATAACATCTGTACGGCAGGCCTGAATAACTTGAATTTTTTGCTATAATTCCAACATCAAACGTTCCCTTGTTCTCTAAAATCCCTCCTACGTGCTACTTAAGAACAAATCTCCGACCAAAACCCGAGTAAAAACGTTAACACCCTCCTCAGTATTTGGGAGCGGCACGCTGTGATGCCTGAAGACCACCGTCCACCAATACGGACACCAAAATCAATCCCCTAACCCCATGACCCAGAGGATTTATTTTTTTATTTTTTTTAAATCAACCTGCAACTGCCTCCTTCCTCCATCGCCACCAAACTCCTATATCAGTCAGTCAACGCCCCCCCCAGCTCCCCCCACAAAGACCCCGAACCCCGAACCCCTCAAAACCCTGTCAAAAAATCTCTCCGTGCGACAAAGAGCGAATTAAGCTGGTTACTCACGGTGTATGAGCTTGCGTTTCTTTTGTTCAGAGTGAAGGAAGCTGCTCAAGTAGAAGATGATGGGCAGAAAGAGCATGAAGCTGGACACGGCGATGACAGGCACCGTCTCCTCGCGGGGGAAGGAACAATTGTATTTCCTACTCCACAGTCTGCGAGTCATATTCATCTGAAACGCAGCAAAGTGCCAAACGCAACACGAGCTTCAGCTGAGCACATAATTATAGGACACTATTAATTTGACTCGCAAATGTTTACTGTGCTCAGGGATTTTACATCCTTCCAATCTTACGGAAAGAACAGCGGACCACTAACCACCACAAACATCTTTCAGGCATTAAATAAGGACATTTATTTTAACAACAGATTGTTTCTGAATCAAAAATCCAAGCCTCTATTTTCTATTAACGCCCTCTGATATGAAATCAGCACACATTGAGATATTGTAAGGCCAGAGTAAAATGTATGTTTAAAAGTGTATGTCATTTCATAATCAAGGCTAAAACATCTACTCTGACAGCGGAAAAGGTTCAAGAAAATCACACTTCCTGTTTTTTGTGTTTAAACACATTGTTGGTCACACAAGTGTGGAACCATACGATTATCTTTTAGGTTCTACATATTAGCAGAAGCGTGTAGCTTTTATCTCTTTAAAGGAGAGTTGTATAAAACCTCGACATACATACCGTATCCTCTATGTCAATACACATGGTCTGATTGGTCTCCATTCTGCTGTACAGCTCATTCAGGCTTTTGTATGAGCTCTTACAGTCTTTGCACAGCTCGGTGTAGTTCCCCTGTAAAGAACAGACCTCAACTTCTCAACATAAACCCATAAAAAAATTTAAAAAATGGACGGGACATCATCAACATCATTGTCTAATTTACGGCGTACCTGTTGATACTTATTAAAGCAGGTGACGGTTTGGTTGTGAGTGTTCATGAAGTACAGCGTGTCATTGGTTGGGCTCTGGAATCCTTTAGTGATACACTCTGCACGACAGGAAGTAATAATATCGCTTAGGTCTATTTACTCAACAAAAGCGGACCAATGAAATCAGATAATTGTTTCAGCCTGGTAGCATAAATTACAACCCTGCTCCTCCCCCCCAATGTCATCAAAGATTATAACATTACAATTGTTGGATAAGTCTTTGCTTATTGTTTAATTTCAGCAAAGAAAGTGTCTGCATAAAAAAAAATCTATTGAGAAAAAAAAATGAGGTTATTAAACTCCATTATTTTATAACACAGGTTTGGAATACCTTTGCATTAACTAGAGTGTTTGTCATATGAGATATAAAACAAGCTTTTAAATGACATCACCCGGGCTTTGGGAAAGTTGACTGTAGACATTTTAAAAACCTAATAAAACATTAACTACATGAATAATCAATTAGTAAATAAAGGAAAAATAATTATAACAAACCACACACAGTCACAGGCTCTTATGGGGGATACTGGGCAGATAATAGGCCAAAGGCCTATAGAAATGTTCGATCTCAGTTTCCACGTCCAATTAAAACCCAAATCACTGAAGTGAACTGAATGCCGCCTCTACTTGACCCTGCACTCTGACCTCTGCGGTCAAACACGCACCCGTAAGTGTGTGAGTCAGAAGCTCGGACAAAGGCAAGTTCCCAATTACACGCACAGAACCCACCGTCATTAAGTTACATCTACTTTAACGTAAAATGACGAGGACTCACTGTCACAGTCCGACTTTGCCCAAAGCTCCTGCATGTTGCTGTACAGCAGGTAAACCAGCATCAGCCGGTCACTACGCAGGAGGCTGTCCCGGCAGCTGTCATTATCACCGGCACCCATCTGAGGACACACAGGCACAATTCATCAGGACAGATCACTCACATGTCTGGATTCCCTTTGGGTCAGACAGATCGGCTGAAGCAAAATGTGTCCGTCGCCTTGCTATTGATAGCAAGTCACGCAGAAGAATTCAGTGTTTCCTCTAATTTGTCACCAGCAGCCAGTCGCATCACAAGACTCGTGACTCTCGGAGACGTCCCGAATACAGACTTGTCCCATTTATGCGGGAAGACGGTTTATTGGCAAAATTAAAAAAAAAAACATAACAAGCTTTGTAACTGAGAACACACCTGGTCTGACGAGATGTTCGCGTAGGTGTCAACGAGGCTTCCGTAGCTGGAGTAACACTTCTGGCAAACCTGAACGGGCCGCGCGGCAGTCACCAGGCAGTTTACGTAGGCGACGTATCTCTGTCCGAATATCAGGAGCAGCTCGCTGCAGTATTTGCTGATCTCCAGGTCTTCTGGGAAGGACGAGAGAAGATTGAGGGAGAATAGAGCCTCCACGCCGGGTTTAAACGCTGGCGAGTCGCCCATGACAACAGCAGCCGCAGGAGCAGGGCTGAAAGACGGAGTTTGTCTCATCTTGTCCGTTGAATCTGTCGCGAGGACGTTTACTTCGCCACTAGACACGAGGGTATAGATATATATTAACATTAACAGAACCCAAAACGAGCTGTTTTTGTAAAGAGACATCGTCGAAAACGGAGATTAAGGGATCTGTTCCTCTTCTGTCACCGTACACAACCCATGACTTCCTGCTTGTCTCCCAACGTGATCATGTGACGGCCGTTAAATCTCGCGAGATTAAATGATCTTTACGGAGTCAATGCAACTGTGACTTCACATGAGAAAGAAATATATGAATTCACTCTAATCCTATGCTCTCTCACAAAGACTATTATCTATAGTACTTTGGTCACTTAAACTGTGGGGGGAAAAAAATGTTATCAATAACAGCACATTTTATGCAGAAAAAAATGCACTTTCTAGCTGATTAAAAAATAAAAAAAATTATTTAGGCCTATAGAAATGATATAAAGTACAGTTATGATGTGAAATACAAGAGAATCATAAAAGACAAGGAAAAGTTGAAGCTATTCACACTTATATAGGTCACTATCTACATTTTGTATAAGGAAGTGTGTGTGCGAGCACGTGCGTGTGAGTTGAAAAGCGATAGCCGCTCCTGCTGGTCTCCTCATTATTTAAGGGTTTTTGACACCATACAATTTTGCAATGTGCGCTCGGCTCGAAGAAAATAATCACGAAGTCAAGATAAACGATTTGGGCTCCAATCCTGATTGTGATAATTGTCAAAAACCCCCTCGAATCAAGCAACTGCAGTCAATGGTCGTTAATGTGAAATTAGTGGCTCTTGATAACTTGCAGGCCGCCTCAATTCCGCAGTCATCAGAGCCTAATGAAAATAAGGGGGGAGAGAAAGCGCTCGGCATTAGCGGCCTATTCTGATGCCTGCGCACAACTCGAGTGGTAAATATGGATTCTGGCCTCTAATGCTCCTCTTCCTGCACGTGGCACTATTAGCTCTACTTCTCCTGTCCAGGGTTCACATAATTGTTCAGATGTTCCCCATTCCTTTATTAGTCATTTCCTAGTGTAGCTCTCGGAGAGAAGAAATTACCTTAACGATCCTGCTTTTTTTTCTTTTTATATTTTTGTGCGCTTTGTTCACTATACACCTTAGCTTTTAACCATGTGTTAGAAACACGTATTTTATAGTATGAGTATTAGTGTTTTTTCGGAAAGTGGTTGTTGGTCAATATCAATGTCAATATAAGCATTAATATTACTATCCAATGAAAATAAAACATATAGCGTGTCTGCACTCACATTATACACTAAGTTTTGGATGTCTTTCGTCTGCGGGCTAATCAGCAGAGCATCAAGTATAATCGGCATATCATTACTATTTGAGATGACCGTTATTGTCAGATGGCGGAAAATGTCTTCATTAGCATGTGATAGATAGAGAAACCAAGAGGACAAAAATCACTAATTAGGCCCATAAATTAGAGACGGTGATGATGAGAGCCCTTCAGAGACGAAGGCAAGACTCTGTCCGAGAGGCTCGTCGTGATTTGGCGCACCATATGCAGCATGACCATGCAATGAAAAAAATGGTCAAAGGAAAGTAGCTTATAACTCTGGGAAATCGCACAAACTAATGCTGTGGATCTCAGTATGCCCAAATATCAATAATTCATTCCACCATTAAAAAGGAGCTCTGGAATTGTTCTCAGCTAAACGTACAAATAAGAAATAAATACAAACAGTTCATATACAGGTCAAAGTACTGCATTCAAAATATAATTTAAGAGTTTATGAAGAACTATGAGCTATACAAAAAGTATTAATTAGATTCCTACCATTAGATTGGGAACCATGGGAAATACAATTTTTCAAATCTTCAGCTCTGCCCCTGAAATAGAGGCTATACGGTAAAGTTTGTTGAATTTTTGGGATCTGAGATTGCGATTTGAATCCTTTCCATGTGAAAGTATCTAACTGGACAATCACAAAGAGGTAAACTCAAACCGGTTGAGCCTTAAACTTGGCTCTTGGCGTGGGGAGAGAAAATAGGCAAGCTGTAAAGTTATGCAGAAGTTATTCTTCATCCTTCGGGCCGTCCCTAATCCGCCAAAAACCTCATTCTTTCATCGGAGAACTGTGCCTCCTTTCTTGTTCCCCCCTCTCTATACAACATAAAGTCAGACTGCATTTAATGGTTATGTCGGGATGGGAGAGGGGCTTTCTTCTTCCCCTTTTCTCCAGAATATTGCCCTTTTCGTCGTGTGAGTCTCCCAACCCGGGGGGACCCCCATATTCTTCCCTCCGCGTCTGACTCGAATCACAAACTAACCCTGATTTTCACCACTTTGCTGGGAATCGCGGGGAGTGATAATAGAGATTTTGCTTTCATTTTATACGCTTGACTTGGTTATTGTTGCTTTTCTCCTCTCCCGTGATTCTCCCCTCTCCGGGGATTAGCCCTGACTTCGCCCGCTATACTGGCCGCCGAAGTGCCCCTGAGCCTCGGGATGACAATTGATGCAGATCAAGGGAGACCTATTCTGCCCCTTTTTCAAAAGGCCTGAGCTGAGCTGGGTTAAAATGAGGGAGTTTTAATGGAAGGAACGGATGCCCCTCAGTTTGCTTCCCACAAATTAATTGAAAGTGGGGGTTTTGGGGGGGAAAGTATTGACATTAATATTTTTTTCATACATTTTTCATTTTATAGCGACATACACCTTCAGACTGCATGACGAGGACGACAGTAGGAATGAGGTGAGGAAGATTGTGATGATGGGGATGTCAGGGCTCACACAGTAATTGTGAGTGATACGTATGTAGAATGATGGAAGTGTTGGTGATGGGGAAGAGGGAGAAGATTACTATGATCGAGTTTTGCTTAGAAGGACGGTGATACCATCATCAATGATGAGATTAAGTATACAGATGCTGATGAAGATGATGATGATGATGCATTGGAGTGGTGATGATGAGGTTGAGGGAGCAAAAATGCAGAAGGGGATGATGACTGTGATCACGGAGGAAGAGGAAGATGGTGATGCTGAGAATAAGATTTGAATAAGAATCTGCTTTATTGGCCAAGTTTAGGTAGTTAGTTTAAGCAATTAACATAATATGTATTATGTTTGAGGCTGATAGTTACATATGAACAATAAATGCATTTGTATGAGATAAGTAGCGAAGCCCAACCTCGCTGATTTTAAATTGACACTGTTTCCCAAGTTAAGAGCAATGCTAATCATTATTTTGGACTCATCCCTTTTTACTTGTAGTATACTGCAGTGAAGGTGCTGAATGTTCCCTCCCCCACCGGATGAGAGTAAGAACGAAGCGGAGAAGAAGGATGGACGTGCCGCCGTGTCACAGTTGTCACAATCCATCTGCTCTACAGGTGTCACACACACTGCAACAGTTTGAAACAGTCTGACTTTGCAGATCTGCTCATAGCTCGTCACCCATGAGGGGCTCTCCGTATTTGCTGCGTCTCCCCCAATCAGACCGTCTCTGCAGCGCTGTGAGAAGTTAATCGTAGCTGACACGGTGTTGTGCACTCTCCCGTGGGCCGGTCGGGTCGGGACCGCTGGTGGAAAGCCGGGTCCGTGCTCACATAGAGGGGGATAATTACCGAACACGCAGCCGACCGCAGCGACACAAAAGCCGCTTTGACTTCCTCACTGCTGGTCGCCCCGAAAGGGGATGGTTCCCACTCCCCGCCTCACCCGCCTCACCCGGCTCACCCGGACCACTTCTCATCACTCCCGAGAGGCCGAGACGTCTTGTTCCATAACAAGACATGAAACTGACTTCTTTCAGCTCCAGTGAACTGGACATAAACCCCGACTGACAACCTCCAGTGCCCAAACAGAACAGGGAGAGGACGGGTGGGCCGGGACAGAGGACAAGAGAGGGGCGGGGGCGGCAAAGGGCACACTGAATAAAGTTGTTATTCTCTTTAATCTTACATCTCGAGGGGAAAAACCACACCAAAGCTACTCTAGTTAAAAAAGATAATGTTGGCATATCGAGTTCCTAAAGACCAACAACGCAACATTTGCATTTTGGGCCTCATTCACGGAATGTCTGTCAACTGTTTATGAGTAAATGAAATGACTCTTTCCGCGGTCCCCTCGGAGCCATCTATCTCTCTCAGAGCTCAGCGTGTCACGGCATTGAAAAGCACGACGTGCTGTAAATGTAATGGGCCGGGGGTGATTGTTTCTGACAAGCAACAAAACACATCGCCCTCCCCTCAAATTAGTCCCCCAGGAGGGGGGTGGGGTGAGGGGTTCATGTCCCAGGAGACGCATCGGCAGACAGCATGCCAGTAGAGCATGAGCGTGCATGTGACTTCCAGCATCCAGCCCCACGCTGGTGGGCTCCTTCCAGGGGTTTAGTGGGTTATAAAACAAAGCCAAGTTGATTCAAGTTTTCTACCTTAAATGTGCGTCTGTCTCTCCAAACTAAAATGAAATTACTTTCTGTAAATTACCATATGCAGCCGCTGCTTTTTTTATTCTGTAGCGCTGAAAGTAATCAAAAATATACTTTTTTCTATTCATTTGTCAATGCTAACCCACTTACACAACATCAAGAAGAAGACATATCCCTTGAAATGTTGTTTTTAATGTTTGTCAGAATACTAAAATACTAAAATAAGTAAAATGACACAGATTTTAAGCTCATTTGAATTGTTTAAATTTAATTTTACACGTCAAACAGAATAAAACAATTCGCAGGTGAAGGGTTTGATATCTGTAAATTATGGTATGATATCTAACAATCAATATTTATTTAGTCTCAACACTTTTGGGGCTTTATTTATCATAATGATAGTGGTCTAAAATGTGAAAATGCTTAGTTTTAACTCTCAATGTTTCAAACTTTCTTGAAGTCAGACTTCCCAAAATCACCATCTCCTATACCGTTGTTCTTTAGAAGTTAAATTCAACTATAGGTACCTACTTAAATTGTATATTTTATTATGAATAATTTATAATGAAAAGTTGGAGGGAAAACAAAATGCAAAAGGGGAGCACATGGGGCAGCACAGCACACAATCAATTACTGTGGTCCTTTGCATAAAAAGAAAAAGTGCTCTGCCAAATTGAGGCCTGTGAAAATATGTCGGAACTTTAAGGTATAAAGTGAAGGTAAAGTAATGTACTAATTACCCAAACCTTTATCTGTTACATGCATCGTTAAATATAGAGTACATTTAAAGGAGGGTAACAG